AATAAAAATTGTTTTGTGATTAAAATGACAAAGCTTAGCTGTATTGGAACTCTGCTGACGTGTATATTGTGTCAGCATTCGCAATGCGGGTTTTTTTTTTTTTTTTAAACTCTTTTTTTCACCTTTCAAGTACAAATTATTTTATTGGTAAATTAATGCATTTCTTTTTTATGTTTTGGATTTTATTAAAGCTTTTGTTTTCCTTTTTTTTTTTTTTTTTTTCTCATTTGCTCCGTGAAAATGGAAATAACCATAAGTGCCCTTAAACTCTTGTTTCTTCAGTTAAATAAAAGAATATATTTTAGGTAATTTTTCTTGGCAAAACGGGTAATGGAAAAAGTGACACTTGAGCTATTTTTTTAAGCAAGTTTTAATAGATTTGTTAATTTAAAATATAATATAATGATACGATATAAATACGATATAAAAATAATATAAAATGATATAATTTAAAATTTTAATTATAACTATATATAAATTTAATAAAACTAAACAAATATATTTCATATTTTTATATGAACTGATCTTCTAATGAGCGTACAAAAATCTTTCATAAGATTTTAAGAAAAAAATCAAATCAATTTGTTCGTATTGAGAAATTGTATTTTGAGAGTATTTTATTTTATTTATAGAATTTTATTATAATTTTATAATTGCATAAATACAATAAAAAATGTGTAAGGATCTATCATCGCAAATAACTATAAATTTCAAATAATATTATAGATCTTACGTAACTTTAAATTTTAATTGTTTAATTGTAATACAATTATTATATGTGATAAAATGGATGAAAATAACCATATAAGGAATATAGAGAAAAATGTATTTGCACAAAAATGGTGAATACATATTCAATCCAACAAAAAATATTTAATTGTGGATTTTAGAGCTTTAATTATATTTATTATTAGATAAAAAATTTTCAAACATGTTGATTTAATGACTGGTGTACAATTTTTTTAAAAATAACATCAAATTCTTTTTTTCTCCAAATAAAAAAATGGTAAAATCTTTGTTCAAAGGTCAAATTAATCAAGTGACAATTAAAAAAGGGACATAATCGTCTTTAAAATATAAAGAAAAAGAAAAAAAATTGTATTTAAATTATGAAAAACCTTATTTATTTGCATAAAAATAAATGTGATATATAAGCAAATAGGAAGTAACTAGAAGGGCATAAAAGTCATTTCAATAAAAGAGAAATAGTTTTTTCTTATATAATTAATTTAATTTTAAAAAAGAAGTTTTTTTATTTATTTAAAAGTTAAAAAGGTTAACCGCGAAAAGAACTCAAAAGACGGCCCCGTCCACACACAACCGGTTAAACAGGTCAACAATCCGCGTACGCAAAAGTGGACCCAAAGGAAAGGGCCGTCCATAAGCTATAAATGCGTCCAACAACGGCCCGGGCCACCCTTGATCGCCAAGCACCTACTCATAGTTAACCGGCAAATGGCGGTCACTGCTCCAAAAATCCAAGCTGTTCTCCAAATTCCCAACCCAAGTCCGTTCACACTTCAAGACCCAAACACTCCCATTCTCTCACTCTCTTTCTATATTCTTTGTTTGGTGAAATGCAAGGATAAAGCCTTTGGGTTTGCTTTCTTCTTAAAAAATGGTGAAGAGTATGTGAAAACTGTGGAGAAGAAGAAAGAGAATTCCATGGCAAATTTGAGGTTTTCCGATGAGAATCAGCTAGCAGCAAGTAGTTTTGGAGGAAGCATCTTTGACATGGCAGCAGGGGCATATGAAGGTAGTGGTGGAGATAAGCTGGGGCCTTTAGGTTTTATGGACGTGCTTTCTATGCATCAAGATTTTGTTGCTCCTTCTTTATTCGATTCCTTTCAGCCTCCGGTTCTTTCACCACCACCACCACTTCCATCAATATCGTCTGAACTTCACCAAGAAATATTACATGAACAACAACTAGCACTGTACGCTAAGCAGCTTCAAGGTCTTCCATCACCGGCTTCCACCATACCGGAATCTTCAGAGGTTTTAAACAACCCGGCTACACCAAACTCTTCTTCGATCTCTTCCTCGTCGAATGGAGCTGAAAATGATGAGCAAACCAAAGCGGGGGATGATGAAGAACAGGATCAGGATCAGGATCAATACAAGACAAAGAAACAGTAAGCTTTCTTGAGTCATATTTTTTTAAGCTATTTCTTTGATTCAGTACACGGTTTATATATGGTTTTAAATGGGGTTTCTCAGTTCTGTTGTGGGATAAACTTTTACTTGTCTTGCTGGTTTTTTAAGTAAAGTTTTGTGCTTGCTTTTATGGGTTTAGGTTGAAACCCAAAAAGAAGAACCAAAAAAGGCAAAGAGAGCCGAGATTTGCGTTCATGACTAAGAGTGAAATCGATCACTTAGATGATGGCTACAGATGGAGAAAGTATGGGCAGAAAGCTGTGAAAAACAGCCCTTATCCCAGGTTAACAATCTAATCTAAATGCCCTCTCATCTGGTCCACTAATGTTTCTTTTATTTTAATTAAATCATTATTGAATCTGTTCCTTGCATCCCAAGGATTCAAATCATAAAAAGACTACTTTTAATGTTGATTATAGTAGTATTTTTATAACTTTCTTAATTGAAGTGTGTGTCCTTCTTAATATGCTTGCAACAGGAGCTATTATCGTTGCACTAGTGCTGGATGTGGGGTGAAGAAGAGAGTTGAGAGATCATCCGATGATCCAATGATCGTCGTTACCACTTATGAAGGGCAGCATATGCATCCGTGTCCGATAACGCCTAGAGGAAGCATAGGAATTGCCTCAGTTTCCTCTAGTTTTGGTGCTGCTTCTGCTCCATCTTTTGTTGTTCCTCAACCTCATTTACATCACCAGCAACAAGTACAACCCTATATATATAACTCATCTCCTTCTCTGCATATTAATACCACTACTAGCTCTAGGTTCAATTCCACGTTTCCTGCTTTCCTTGAAAAGAGATGTTTTAGTCCTAATTCATCACCAAGAGACCATGGACTTCTTCAGGATATTGTTCCAACCCAGATGAGGAAAGAGGCAAAGGAAGAGTAGAAATGGGTTTTAATTATATGTTGCTGGCATATATGTAGTTTACTAACTAAACTGAAAAGAAGGGAGGAGGGGTTATCTTTAGATAAAGAACCCATTTCACCATTTTATATATACCTTTTAATTCAGGTTATTATTATCTGTGTAAAATCACTATAGCCTTTTTAGTCTTGTGGAGGAGTACTACTCGTTTTGTACTTGGTGTTTCTTGTGGTTATTCTTTGTATTTAAAGAGTATTCAATTATGGAGACACTGGGTTTTTTTATTCTTCCATTTTGCTTTACTCTAGCCATTTTCTTCTTCTTCTTCTTCTTGCTTCTTATCATTCTTTTTCATTGTGTGCATGCACCCATATGCATATTGTCAAGAGAGATAGCGTAGCTAGAAAGGAGTCTTTAGGGTTAGGGTTTTCTTCATGGGAAAAGTCGTTATGAAGACTAGTTATTACTAGAAACTTTTTGTATGGGGCGAAATTCTTGAACTTTATGGGAAAAGGAGCATTCTAGAATAATTGATTTGGGAAATCTACCCTACGAAGGTAGAGAAGGTAACCCTAAAGATTGGAGAGAGGACAATGAAAAAAATGAGTTTATATCTTGGAGTACATGCATGGAGGTGCATAGGTACAACAACAACTTTTAACCATTCCCACAAGCCTTTTTCTTTTCAGCTCATGCCTTTTTCTTCCTTTTTACGCCAATTAACAGATATGGAGTTGAAGGTGCAAGTGGCTTGTTGTTCTATATATTAGGAGGATGGTGAGAGATTTTGGCCTATCGAGGATCTGTTTCTACTAGTCTTCCCCATGTTGCACTGTCTCAGCTACTTATATATCGCCATACACGGTATGATTGAAAGACTATTTCATATTATGCATAGACCAGCATATGCATGTGTTCTTGTAATTGAATATTGAACTTTAAACAAAAGGAAATTAATCTTTCGAATCTACTATATATAGCACAATATAATATTTAATTTGTTGTGCATATAACGCGAAAAAAAATCACAATTTTTTCTATTGTTGGATCAATGTTATAGAGGTTAAGATCCATATCTCAAGCATTAGTATGGGAGAACCATCTCAGGAACAAGATTTATATATGTTGACTAACATGTAAGAATAAAGATAATTAGGTGCTTGAAAGAATGATAAACTTTTCTCAAATTGTCTTATCAGTATCTCTTTTCATCTAAGTCCTTCGAGGTGGGATCCCGTTGGAAGATTTTTGCATACAAAAGGTGGCTTGAAATTTAGACAACATTTTCATTTCTATTGTTAATTATATATACTTTCAAGCATTCGGAAACTTTGCTTTGATAAATACATGACACTAATCCACAAGGGGGACATTTCCCTACAATTATATATGGGATTCTTGATCTAATTATGTAATATCCAAGCCAGAAATAACCATGGAAATATCATTTTTATATGTAGAATATATATATTTACTAAATAATTAATAAATTTATATTTGATACACTATCAATATATAAATTTTATGTATTGTCAATAAATAAGTTGATATTATCTCATAGTAAATATCAACCTTTAAAACAAATATATAAAAATTAATATTTTTTAAAAAATTTACTCATTAATGGAATAATAACATTTAATTCATTTCATTAATACGACGATACCATCCAATTTACTGAGGTGGGTATATGTAGAGAGGTTCAAAAACAAATCTTGAGATGCAATTTTGAAAGAAATACTAATAATTAAGAAGAATAAAGTTGGGTTTTTGAATTTTGAGCACTAAGGATTCTGTGGGATCTATCATCAGCACCATAGAAAGGCACTTGATGGCCATGGGCAGTTTCGTGTACTACTTTACTTTGGACCTATTCCACTGCTGCTTCCTGGACATGATCAATAAATTCTTGTTAGCTTTTCCGGTTTCGGTTTCAGCACATAAATTAGGCCAAAGCTTTTTTGTCTTGGATCAATCTTTTTTTGAAACATCTCGGGCTAATGACCCAGATGGCACAAACCACTCTCTATCTCTTTCTCTCAACAGAAGTACAATAATAATGGCAGATGGCCCTCTTCTCCTGTTGTAGTTCAAAAGCTTCAAGCAGCACATGGCCTTTCTCATGACGAAATATAAAGTTCACCTCTTTCATGGTTTGATAGCTTCTCATTCCTTTAACCACCCGTGTAGCTTAGACTGCTTTCGCTTCCTTTTATCTCAAATAACAATCTTATATATATAAAGGACAATCGTCACTTGCAGTTCTATCACCTAGAGGTCGAAAGATGGCCAAGTAATTGGCTTTCTGTTTGGTAATGCTTCAGCTTTCCATCACATTTGCCAAACACCTTGAACGAAACTTGTCTTGATCACATTAGTATTCTACTGCAGATTAACTCGTATAAAAGTAGCTGCCCTAATCGGAACCCATGCATCATCTTCTCTTTGGTTGAAAATGCTGTGCCAAGACTCCAGAATGGCAGCTTCGCTGCTTCGTCTTCATTTCCATAATTTCTTTGTTAATGCACGTCACTCTTTCAGACTAGGATTTTTTTTTTGTCTCTTTTAGATTTTCTTGTAACATAATGTAGGATTTGAGTTTGCAGGTTTGTGATGCTTCATTTTTATTGGACGATACTGAGGGTTCTACTGGTGAGAACACTCGAATTCTCTGCGGGGTCAAATTGATCGATGCAATTGAATCTGTTTGCCCTGAAACTGTTTCTTGTGCTGATATTCTTGCAACGGTTGTCAGAGACTCTTTCGTTCTAGCAAGTACTGCTATGATTCCTCCCATATGAAATAGCAGTTCAAAGCATAAAATAATGCTTACACTATAGACCTTTTACAGTTTTGTTGGAACATGAAATTTGGGGATTTGCAGTCGGAGGGCCCTAGTTGGGCAGTCCAGATGGGCAGAAAAAGATTAGCTTTGGTGCTAGCAAAACAACAGCAACAAACAACATTCAAGGCCCAAATTCCAGTGTGCCATCACTGGCTGCCAAGTTCCAGAATGTTGGGCTCTCATTCAATGACATGGTTGCCCTCTACGGTCATGATTTTGTACGAGAAGTCACCTTTTGATTTTAAGATTTCGTGAACGGGGCTCAAGAGCAGGGAGTTTCTATCACAGATCCTTAAAGAATCCAATCCATAACAATTCTCGTTAAGGAACGTCACTCTGGAGCAAAAACAAAGCTCTATTTCTACTTATCTGATTATTATCATAGCAACCAATATCATGTTACATAAGCACAGATGGCATTCAATGCCCTAATACTAATGCCAGTACCAACTGTTAGCAAAAGCCACCCTAAATTTTAAGAAAACTATTCACATTGTAGCTACTATTACACGTCTGATCTGGCATTTAAGCCTACAGCAGTTGCTGCTGCATCCATGCCTTTGCCATGACTGTCGCCCTGCGTTCACCAAGAATAAACTTGTTCCAATTAGCAGACTCGGCTCAGCTTCCGATTTTAAGTTCCTGAAGATGAAGTATTCTCCCATTAAGGCAAACATGAATAAGATGATCAAAGGATAAATGACGCATCAACTTGTGACTGATCTTACCTAAATATTTGGATAGTAGGTTGTCTCATTTAGATGACAGGTTAGGACACATACAATTACAAGCTCATGATTTCAGCTTGTGTCTACCAAATTACATTTCCATTTCTCTAATTTTACTTTCTATTCTAGACAAACAAGCAGAAGCAAAGGCCTGGTGAGCCCAATCATCCAATCTAAAAAGTCTAATTGAAAATCAAGCAAAATTAAAACCTTATGGCTTATTTTTCCATGCTAAATCCTGCACCGTCTGAAGCCCCTGCAGCAAATAGACCAAAGAAGTGAATAGAGTTGTTGAAAAGGAGACAGCATAATGGAAATTACAACTGCTGATACCTGTTGGGAGCGTGCTGGATCATTGGGTGATGGTGCCACTGGTAATTGTCCATAACCAAGTTCCTGTAAAATCCGAAGATCCAAAAGAATATGAGATCTTATGAGACAATAAACTTCTAAAAGGAAGTGAAAACAAAATTGCCTTATAAAACTAATAACTATAAAAGACGGGTTGCAAAATAAAATTAAAAAAAAGAACGGCAATGTTATTATGAAACAGTTTGACAACTACTTAAGACGATATTGCTTGAGATGCTTATAATATCATAGAGAGTAGAACGAGTCTAGAGGTTCTCTTTTTATTTGGCTGGGCTGTTAAGATAATATTTTACCTTTATATTTTGTTGATTAAAATTTACCTGTGTATTTTGTTGATTCCTAACTCCAGAAGCTGGATACTGGATTTCCACAAAATAGAGTTAGCATTGCACAACTAAATATTTAACACAATAAAACCCAGTTAATAAAGTCAAAAACTAACCGATGTAGGAAAAAAGGGTTCCTGTAACTGTGGAGGGTGGTGGATCTGTTTTAGAAGCTGGGTTGGGACCTGCGCATGTTGCGAAGCTAGCTGAGCAGGGTCTGATTGAGTTTGAGGCTGTTGAACAGGTGGCTTTTGTTGTTGTTGTTGCCATTGTTCAAACAAAGTTAATTCTTCAGGCTTGTCCCACTGCATATGGATACAGAAACAAATTCATCAAAACACTATGAATTAATTAATTAAGGAAAATTCCCTGACACACAGTCAACCAAATCTCAAATAAATGTCTCACCTTGCTTTCATGCGTTAGACTGTTATGATAGTATTTGAATCCATCAGGAGAAGTATGCTCTGTCCAATGACATTCTACTGAAGCTACTATCGGCATCATAAGAGGTGCAGCAGGAGCGGATGCAGATGAAAGAACATCTGTACCAGGTATATGAGGAGGAGTGCTGCCAACAGTCTGTGGCATCATCCCAGCCCACTGAGAGTGCACCAAGCAAAGTCCTCAGCATATAATAATTACAGCACAAATTTCACAAGCAGATGCCATTACAAAAATAAATTGTTTCAGCAACTAGCACAATTTAACATTTAAAGATGGCAGTTCAGGTACTAACAATAGTGAAAGGTATGGTGATATCAAGATGTCAGATGCACATGGAGGAGAGTAAGGATCCAATGATAAGCAGGCCATTTGAAATCCTTAATTTTTATTGCCTAATAAAATTTTCTGATTAATTTTTTGAACTGAAATTATGAAATGGATCCTTTTTTCCCCTAAAAATGACTAGGTAAGCCCCAATTTACCTTGGAAAAAATATCACAACTCCTTTGTGAACCTGACCATCATGGACCCACATACCTGCTGTTTAGAAGCCTCTGAATTCTGCGGCAATGTCATATTTTGATTTGGAGGTTGCATCAGCTGCAATTGTTGCTGCAGCTGAGAAAATGCCTGCTGAGATGATTGAAAGCTGGCTTGCAGAGTTTGTGTTTGCTGAGACAGCATCTGAGCTAGCTGAGAAGGGGATTGCTGAAGAGGTTGAAGCAGTTGCTGCTTGAGAGTAACAGGAAATTGTTGCTGATTTGCAGTAGTGGACACAGAATTGGGCTGTAAATTGGGTGTCAAGTTGACACTCAAAGGCTTTTGTAGCACTGCAGCAGATGAAGCATTCTGCTGGACCTGAGGCCGAGAAGCAGGCAACTGGCCACTCAAACCAGCTAAATGTTGTGAGGGAAGAGCTTGACTGAAAGGTGTATAAGTAGCAGGAAGAGGAACTTGAGGTTGACCAACATGCGCAGTCTGTGTCTGCGAGTATGACACAGGTGCTAGAGGCTGTAGTTGAAAGGAAGGAGGTCGATGCTGAGGTGATTGGAGAGGCTTCCGTAAAGGTGAAATTTGCTGACCAATTATTGCAACTTGTGATGAAGGTTGATTAAATCCCTGCAATAAAACAAACCTAATTCAATCTGGAACACAGACTGTGAAAGCATCAAAAACACATACAATTTTCACAAACCTGTAGTGAAGTAGATGAAGATGAAACTGCAAGGCTAGGAAGAGAGCCATCCGAAGGGCCGCCAAAAGGACCACCCTAGTGTTTTCACCAGCATAGTAAGCAAGAGTTTGCATGTAAAATAAAATTAGAAATACGAAAATTTCCATGCAACATGAAATTGATAATTGAAGACCTTACAAAAGGCCTAGCATAAAAGACCTAACAGGATAAAAATTAAGAAAAGTATGACCACCAATTTATAGCTTTCAGGCTCCAATTGACACAGTACCTGAATGACAGTTAATGTAATTAGGTTATTTACACTTTTATGAAAGAATCTTTGCTTTGATTGAAAGGAAAAACAAATTTGCCGGCTTAACCACAAAAAATAAATATTTAAAAATCAACCTTACAAAATAGTTTCTTACGGTCGATGGATATACTGTTTAAACTACAACAATGACTTCAACATTCCATGCACAAAATATGTTACCACATACCATCAAAGAGGAATATTGCTGATTAACACAGTTTCACTGTAAAAATTAACAATGTGCCATACAACAATTATTCTTACCGGATTTAAAGGTATTGCTAGGTCACCAGACGTAGGAAGCAACTGATTCCCCATACTCCGAACACCAGGATCAGAAGTTGGTCCCACATTCTGTTGATTCATAGGATGCCAAGCAGTATGTGGAACATGATCCCCCATTGCGTCACCAAAGTTGCGTACTGGTCTACAGTGGTTAACATGAAAGCAGAAGTTCAGAAGAAAAAAAAAAAGAGCAGCCAAATGAAATAAGGAGACAGTTAAGCTTTCAAGCACTAGACTTTGCCAGAATATGTTAACAAGGTTGAGGGTACCTAGGCCGTGGTGCTTGGAAACGATTACCAAAACCTGGACCTCCAAATGCAGGAGCACCACCCCTGGAAAGGAAAGTAAGTTAAAAACAGCCCACAGCTAATTCAATCACCGTGCAACATAGGCAAGAGGCCAACAGATGAATCAACAAACAGATACACAATCAACTTTCATCCACAATGGAAGGTAAAATAATGTCCTATAAAAGAAACACCTATAACCACCAAAGGCATGCCCCTTTCCCATTTACATCCCAGTTTTCAAGGTTGCACATAAAGAAACGCATAACATGTCTTAAGGAAAACCTTGAATCTCCAGCTCCTTGCCTACGCCTCTTAGGATCAGCAAAACGGACAGTTAATGGCTGATCACAACCCTAAGAGGTAGATAACAGATAATCAATAGGTACCCTTTGATAATATAATCAGTAAACAGAACATTAAGAAAGAAATAACAATACTTACTCTCATTGTATAAATTCCATTGAGAGCATCTATAGCTGCTAATGCCATTTCTCTATCGGAATATTTAACAAATCCGCATCCTTAAAATGAAAAGAATAAATACTTAGAGGAACGAAAAGAGAAAATGTAATAAAAGTAATTTTACATAAACATCTGAGAACTGAACAGAAATTACGTAAAAGATACATTTTTTGATAATATAATGAAACAAAAGAAACAAAAACAGAAACCATTCATCAAATCTGAGATGGTCATATAAATAGAACTCAAGGACACACCACGGCTCTGCTTTAACTCATCAAGCATGAGGTAAACATCTTCAACTCGACCAAATCGAGAAAAAACCTGCCAAGGAAATAGCAATTAATAGTTTGGCAGAATGTATAATCTACAAAAAGTTTAAACTAAAATAAATTAGTAAATAATTTCAATGTACATTAGTTCTGCATAACAAGAAAAATAGAAAAATTAGTAAATATGTGACAATTGATGTGAAACCACAAAAGGTCAATTAGAAAAAAAGAATCTTCTTTCACACTAGAATAATAAAAGCCACAGAAAAAGACAACATAATTAACCAAACAAAATATTTATATGACATACTTCCTGAACATCCAATTCAGTAGCTTGTTTGTTCAGCGACCCAACAAACAATTTGTACTCAACCGCACCTGTCATTAAGGAAACAAAATCTGTTATGAAGAAAATAGACAATATATATAAGAAGCATAAGCATATATAATGAAGGACAATAGTGCTTTATTCTTCAAATCTGGGCCAACTTAATTAAGCATTTAAATAATTCTCCTACTACTGCTCACACAGGAAACCATACTGTTACTAATTGCATTCTTTCCTATTTAATGTTCATTTTCTTCAATCATTTGGAGTTTCAATTATGAGACATGAATTCAACAATAGACACAAATATGCTTGGACTGCAATACATGAGAGAAATGTGCACAAACACATGTCTAGGCTTTTGAAAAAGTGCTACTTGACGCCTATTTCTGTACCAACAACGGAATACAAGCCCCTCCATTCTGAAATTAAAGGGCATCAGAAAATACAGTAAATAAGGGCATGTAGCATCTACATGCAAAAACTACAAGTATCAGTAAAAGTAAGTGCCATGGGCATGACATCCTTAAGGCCGAACATTAAAAGAGAACATACTGCATCCAACATCCATAAAAAATCTTCTATTGACACATATTCACACATGTAAGTTACAGATCAAGCTTCAAAATCCCACAAATAGGTAAAAAGTACCAAGGCATTCCCGTTCCCCATCAGCATATCTGACTTGGATAGGACCCACTCCCTGTTAATATGTGAATGAGAAAGTAAAACAATTTCAGTTATAAGAGAATGTAAAACCATTTCATTTATATACATAAACAAGAAATTGAAGGGCAAAAGACCCCACCCCAGGCAGAGTATGTTGATTATGTAAGGCTCTAATAGCCCTATCAGCTTCTTCTAAGGTTGCATATTTTATAAAACAACATCCTGCACAACCAGAGTTTTAATTCCGATTTTGGTTAGATCACTTGCACCCCCAGAGATGGTGCAGATAGGCAGGCACATGAATGTCATGGAAACATACTGTTATAGATGCATATGAATGTAACTAGAAAGGAAAAAAAACCCAAAACATCCAATATTAACATAAAAAAATTCATGACTGGAAAACAAGAGTCTTAATATAAACAGATCTATTTTCATCTAGCACAAATAAAACCAAAAAAAAAAAAAAGAAAAGGAATGTCAACCACTATATCAGAATGTTCAAAAGAAAAATATCTTCAACTAAATCATTTGTATCTGGGACAAGGCAGAGTACATGGCACAAATCTCTCAATTTACAGGATACATCCCTGACACATAAATCCTTAACAGAACATAGAAGAACTAGATTATTACGGAAAGAAGGATTATCTGACTGACAGTTCTTTAGAATAAGTATGGTAGTAAATCCCTATGTGCATTCAATAAAATATAATTCATTAAAGACAAGAAAGCAAAGATCAAGCACACTGCAACGCTAGAAAAGTTGTTCTTTTTATAAGTGAACAATATTTATAGATATAGACACCAATCTGAACAATGGGGCATAATTCCTTCCTGCAGTAAATAGCACCATTTTAACAGCCTATTATTGTGACAAGAAATGCTAAAGATCTACATAGAAAAAAGCTTTCAACCATGCAACTAATCAACCAACAGTTTGCTACTCTCAACACAAAGACCCACAAGCACAATCTTGCCAGTTATCAAATTTTAAATCCATGCACTAAATCCAGATAAAACCAAAGAATGAACAGAAATACCCTGTCAGAAAAGTGGGAGGCGAAAAAGAAAGAGGAGAAGCGAAAACAGAAGGAAATGGTTTCAAATAAGCAGGAAGTTGAACAGCATCAATTTGCCATGAAAATAAGCATTATTATGCTTACAAACAGAACCTAGGTGCACATGCAGAAAGGAGTTTATCGAACAATAAAGCAAACCAGCAAGGCAAGTGCCCCGATATCATCTTATATTTCCTCTCTTTTCCTTTTCCCAAAGAGGGAGCCAAACAGACAGACAACAATCAAGTCATACACTCCAAAAAGAACTGCTAGTCATTAACATTACATGTTTGCAACACATAAGAATATTTAAATCTTAACTCTACCTCTCTCCCAATCAAACCCAAATAAATAACACAGAGGCATTAGCACCAGGCACAAGCACACAGAGAAAGTCAAAACTCTATAAAAACAACTATTTGCCACTGACATTAAGAACTCGTGACAATATGCCAAGCTACATTCTTTCTCTCTAGACGACCCATAGCCCCAAATAAGATAAAAAATGTGCAGCGCACAAGCACCAAGCACAACAGACATCTAGGCTTCGGTGACCCTAGAACCAACGAACAAGTATTTTAAGCCTCTCACTCATCAGTTTCTTCCTGCTTCATTTTATTCAAAAAAACTCACCATATCTTTTCTAGCAATCTAGTTAAGTAAATAATATATGATGGCTAAGCACGTGACCAGATAAGAGATCATGAACAGCACTACGCTTACTGCACAAATACGACATCCATCTCATTAACACTATTAACTCATTCTAGAATGGAAGTAACAAATTAACCTAGAGACCATCAGTTGCATACTTGCAGTAGAAATATTCATACCAAACAAAAGGAATTTGGAATTCCAGCATCTCCACACACTTCTCAATAATCAAATTGGTTTATCAAGCATAAAATTCTCATGTGACAAGCACTAGAAATCAAGTGCCATTTTCAATAATTCTACCGAACTTCATTGTTGTATTGCTGCTTTGAAGTTGAAATAAATTAGTAAGGTTAATGCACATATAAACTACAATTATGTAAAATTCCGTCTAATCATACAAAGACAGAATTATTGAGGCACTCACTTCACCAAGCATCTATGAATATATAGACTCAGAGAAAACATCAACTCCTCACCAATATCCCATAAAACAAAAATGAAACTCTGACCAACTCTGACCAAATCTATGAATAATTCCCATGAGAATGGACTGTAGTTCTCTCTCAAGAATGTACAACCACATCTGTCTAGGCTAACCACAACAATTAATAGTAAATCAAGACAAGGTACAAAAATATAAATGGACAGAGAATGACCAAGAAACATAGCTGAAAATAAAATAAAATAAAATAAAATAAAAGTGGAGAATCTTATGACGCATTTCCGTCAAAAGTTATCCTCAATGCTATATTGCAGTGACTAGCGACAAGCAGGAATGAAAATGTTTTACAAAGCCATCTGTAAGGGGGGAACCACAATTTCAGCCAACTATCCTTTACACTTCTAGAATCTGAACCTCCATGCTTGATGACAATACAACCACTTAATTGATTGGTCTGCTAACGTGTAAAATAAGCATAGCTTGGTCATGTAAACAACTATGCTCACAAAAGACCCACCAAATTCATAAGGGATAACATTAGTGCCATGAAAGTAAAAGTTAACAGCTGACATCACCCCCATGCCACAACCAATCCATGAAGTACACCATTAACAAAGGTAAAAAGCACCAACACATCACACAAGTCATTACAGACTCAATTCATCAAGCAAAGAATTATAAAACCATCCTGTAGCATCCATTGTTCAACTGAAGCAACGATTTCCAGGAAACAGTCAAAAGCCCTCAATATTAAACTCAAGGAAATTCATTGCTCCTTGTACATTAAAACTTCCACATATCAAAACAGCATCCAAACCATGAAAAAAAAAAAAGATGAATAAGCTCATCATAAAGATTAAAATCCATCAGCATTCACACTCTCTAGCACATGAGGCAAGAACTACAGAGGCAATCAACACTAAGAAATATAAATAATAAACACCAAGCATCCAACTTCTGTGAGGGATAGGCCTCTACATTTCCAACAAGACATAATAGATAGAATAAAATAAACATCACTGCATTAAAACAATTCAACCAATTATTAAAATCACATACATTTATGGGAATTAAAAAAAAAAAAAAAGAAGTGAGGCTATAAAGCCAGCCTGGAGTATAACCACAAATTTGCTTATAAAACAACCAATGCTATAAACTGCTACACCAGGTTGTAGTCACAAAATACAGCAGCATCACAAACTAATTTTTTGTAGAAAAAAAATCCCAAAGAATTTGCAATATTATAAGTGTATAACTTGATACAAAAACATGAGCCTGCCACCAATATAGACAGTACATCCAACCTATTATACAAAAAGTAATTAAACCAACTACCAAATACACAAAGAGACACCAACCGATTGCCATGCATATATATATCAATCCCACAAAAGTATGATGCTCGCAACGCTTCAAATACTATGAGGCATAGAACCAAAGAACCTTCAACACATAGAACCTAATTACAATCCATATCTGATAAACATCCAACTTTAAATCCATCTCATCAACATAAAACTGGTCCACAGACATTCCAACTCCATCCAGAAATAAGAATTACCAGATTCTCCAAGATAACAATCAACCACAGAAATCCTCCAAATAACAATATGACATGCACCATTCAACAGCAACAAATCATAGGATTTCTTGTTTTTATGTAGTACAACAGTAGCACATCCTGATATATATATATATATATATATATATAAGATACAATAATGCCAATAGACACTCCCATGAAAATTTTTATTGGCTAATGCCCCCACAACTGAATCCATCATTTCAAGAATAGATCTATCCGTGGTACAAGTTCCCTACTTTTCTATACATAAACCAGTTTTTAGCAAATCTACATTTCTCTCCTTGTTTTACAGGAGCAACATTTAAAAAAAAAAGGAGGCAGCAACCAAACCAACAAGCGCGAAACTTGTATCAAAAACAAACCGAGGCGAAGATAGCTTAAGTTTGCTCCTATCAGGTCTCAGCAGACCTGAAAGAAGATAGGTATAATAAACATCTAACAATGAAACAATATTCATACATACCTTGTGGTTGTCCGGTTTTTTTATCTTTGATTAAAGCAACCTCTATCACATTTCCATGTTCTTCAAATAAGTATCGAATCTGCCAAAAGAGGAATAAATGATCATTGTTTAAGAACAAATAGACAAAAGATTACATGATGTTAAGTCTTAAAATGCTATTTATTCAATATATGGAATCGACAACCATCAGATGAAGATAAGTGAATTAAATTACATCTCTGGTAGCAAAAAGAAGAGTAAAAACAAGAGTATGATAGTTTCAAAAGTATGATGCAATAATGAACTGACTTACATCCTCTTCCGTAGCTGTCCATGGTACAGATCCCACAAAAAGTTTGGCAAAATTGCCCCCACCTCCAGTGCCACCGCCACCACCACCAAATCTATCTGGACAAAGAAAAAAATAAAGGATAATCAGTCTATAAGATATGTAAGTAATGGTCAAAAGTTTGTAAAGGAAGATAAAATTCGAATATTAAAAGCAAAGTTACGGCCAATTCAAGACAAAATAATCTGCAGCTGAAACCATCCAAGCAGCCAAGGAACAAAAAAATTGAAGTAAACAATGAAAATTCACCAAAGAGAAGCAAATGCTAAGGAAATCCCCTAAAATTCTTCAAATTTACGAATTATTTAATTAGTGAAAGCAGTAGATAAGTGAAAAATTACAATTGACAAATATATTAAATAACTTTAAACAAAAAAAAAATTGTAAGCAATAAAACTAACCACTATTGGGAGAACCTCCTCCACGGCCAGAGAATGGAAAAGCGCGTTTCTGTCCCGTATGAGTTTGCTGTGGCGGATGTGGTCGATAATTACCCTCAAAACCACCACCCATAGACCGAAACCTTCCCCCTTCACCTCCTCTGCCTGCCGCCGCCACCACCTCCAATTGGCCGAAACCCTCCGCCTCCGCCACCGCTGTTGTGATGCAGAATAATAGGACTATAGAACGGACGATTCCCTCCTCCTCCTCCACCGCCACTGGTAGGGCTACGTCGACGGTGGTGATAGGAATCATGGTTATCAAACTTGTCGTTAAAATTACTATTGTTGTTGTTGTAGCGGTTCATAGGAGGCGCGTCGGAGAAACGCGAGGGGCCTCGAGAGGGACGGTTGTGATTGTTGTCATTGTAGTAAGAACTGTAAGATTCCGGGTAACTGTTATCGTTGTTGTTGTTGCTGTTGCTAAAGCGGTCGCCTCTATGCCTATCCAGCTTTGCTGAGTGTTAGTTGAAAGTTGAAACCCTAAATGTGAATTTTAAAATTTAAAAATAAAATAAAATTAGAGAAAGAGAAATAAGGGAGGGAAGGCAAGCGCAGTTGCTGGGAGAGAAAAAGAAGAAAAAAAAAAGAAAATGACAGAACCCAAGGCAAAGTGCACGAAATTTCGGTTGTAGTTTTGAAGGGGGCAGGCAGGTACCGGGCTCAATGGGTTAGGCTTTACTTTGTACTTCAATTTCGGACTCTTTTGAGCTTTTGGGGCTCCCTATCAGACCTAGTTGACGATGAAACTAAATGAGACAATAATACCGTAATAAGATATAAATATGATATAAAAAAATATGAAGATAATATAATTTAAAAGTTTAGCAATGATTATATATTAGCTTAATAAAATAAAAATATATTTTTTATATTTTCATGTAGATATTAATTATATTATATAATTTTTGTATAATTTATTATACGAATATATAAATTTTAATATTTTACATTATATGAATATATGAATTATCAGATTTATAAGGAATCGAACTCAAATTAACTCTTTAGTAATGACAATAATAGATATTCGTTATTTTTTGGATATTTATATTTAAAATTATTTAATATTTATAATAATACGAATATGTTTAAATTTAATATTATTATTCGAATTCAAATCCATTTGAATAAGTACTATCCATTTAAATATATGAATATATTAAAATATTCATTTATTAAATTTTTTGTCAAAATATAAAATAAATAATAATTTAATTTAAAATTCAAAATCACTTTTAATTATTAACAAATAAATGTTATTTGTTAAGGTTTAAAACTTTCTATAAGTGTAAAATTTTATATATTTTATATATGTAAACGGGTAATAAATTTGGATACATGTTATTATTTATTAAAGCTTAAAATGGATACAAATATTGGACATTCAATAAATACTATCATATCTTATCTAAATCTATTAATTATTCATTTATAGTTATATATATTCAATATAAACAAATCAAATAATGATCGATATCTATTTATTTATTATTCATTGACGTCTCTATAACTCTCTCTTGTCATCAATTTGTATTATATAAAATATTAGATAGTTTATATTATGTTTTATACTAAAATTACGAATTATAATTTATCTTTATATGAAAAATATGAAATAAAATTTTTGGTTTTGTTAAAGTCATATATGATTTTTATTAAAATTTTACGACCTGAAAAATATGAAATAATTTTTTTTTTATTTTTGTTAAACTCGTATATTATTTTTGTTAAAAATTTAATCTATACCACTTTTTTTTTTGTATGGTGTAATCATATCATGATTTAAATTATTAATTTTATAAACCTAATAATTTAAAAAACACGATAATTTTTTTTTGTACGGTGTAATCATATCATTATTTAAATAATCAATTTTATAAACCTAACAATTTAAAAAACAAGATAAATTTTTTTGTATGGTGTAATCATATCATTATTTAAATTATCAAATTTATAAACCTAATAATTTAAAAAACATGATAAATAACATAACATAAAAATGATACAAATAAAATTTATAAAAATAATAAAATTTAAAATTTTAGTAAAAATTATATATAAATTTAATAAAATTAAAAATATACATTTTATATTTTTATATAAAATATGATACAAATATATAATTTATCAATATTTTATTAGACATTAATATATAAATTATCGAATTTATAAGAATCTCTTTGTATATATAATAAAGTTGATAAGACTAAGAATCATCTGTTCATTAATAAAAGTGAGAAGGACTAGGAATCTTTTTCTTATTACGGAAAGTGAGAAATATTTTGAGAATCAATTTTTAAATGTAATAGATGGAGCAATGATGCATGCTTTGACTTAATCGTATCATGATTTAAATTATTAAATTTATAAACTTAACAATTTAAAAAAAATCGATAGATGATATAACATAGAAATAATAAAAAAAATAAAGATGATATGATTTAAAATTTTAATAAAATTTATTATAAATTTAATAAAATAAAAAAAATTATTTCATATTAACACAAATTATAAAATTCAATTTTATACAACATGAAAATATAAATGATCAAATTTATAAAAATATTTTTATATATATAATCAATTTGATAAGACTATGAAATTTTTTTATTAACAAAAGTGAGAAAGACTAGGAATCTTTTTCTTATAACGAAAAGTGAGAAATATTTTGGGAATAAATTCTTAAATGTACTAGATGGAGTAATGACGCATGCTTTGGCCTATTTTAGAGTTCATTGCCGCAAAAAGGCCGAAACCAATCGAATCACACCTAGTTCTCCAGCATATTGAATAATATATTGTGGTGATGCATTCTAGACCCTTTCTCATCCAAGGGCAGAGAGGGGGCAGGCAGAGATTATGGTCTTTTAAAATTTTTTTTTACATCATTTTAAATTAATAATCGAATTTATCAAAATTAATATGTATTTTTCTTTTTCTCGTTTAATTCATTGTTACTTTTTGGTTATTGACTGACTTGGTCTCTGTTTTGTTCTAACTTTTATCTTTTTCTCTTGCAGAGAATTGATTAACAAAGGAGACATGAAAAGGTGTAAAAGATGATAGAAACTGGTCCTATAGTGAAACTATAGAAGATCTATGCTGAAACACTGCACATGTAAGAATAAACCAGTATGAATATAATATTAATTAATGGTGAGTAATTAGTTCGTTTGGTTTGAAAATATTATTAATCAAATTAATTAATTTTTATTTAATAAATAATTAAATCGATCAAAAATATTTAAATAATTAATTATAATCGAATCAATCAAAATCATTTTGGTTAGATCGATTTGATTAAATGATCAAATTTTTATTATTTTTATTTTTATTATAAATAATTATTTAATTACAAATTTAACTCAATAAAATTTAAACTCAATGATCATTTAAATTAAATCACTAAATAATTTAATAATTTTAATATTATTTTACAATAATAAATAAATAAAAATATTCATCTCAATTTTAGAATCCATTCCATATTCCAAGCCAATTAGAACTTTCATAGCCTTTGCTTGAATTGAAGAGAGCGTTACGAATAGTTTTTTATCTTTACTTATTACAAATTTAATTAATTAAATGAATTTAATTATTAATTTTAAGAATAAAAAATGAATCAAATTAATCAATCTAAAAATTTGATTATAATTAAAATAAAATAAATTGAACTAAATGAATTAAATTTATTCAATTTCGATCATGTAATTGATTCAAACCAAAATTTGCTTACTCTTAACATTAATGACCTCAAACTCCACAAAATAGTAGCATGAAAGATTTAAGCCAAGCTCACATTTCAAACCAAAGCTGATCTCCCAAGAGAATAGTAGATGGAAAAACGGTTCAAAGAGGACTTCTTGTGGTTGGTTGAAAGCCAGTGTAAAAAAAAAAAATCTATATATGGCATCCAGCTATTTAATTATATTTCAACAACATAAATCAATATTTCATCATCAAAACCCTTAAAAGTCAACAACCAAATCACCACGCTTAGCAAACAAAATTAACAAAGTATCAAATCATATAAGAAGAAAATTGACAAAGAAATAGTTTATTCAAAGGGTCTTCAAGTTTTTAGTTTAATAGGTTAAAAATATTTAATGAGATATTAATGATTTAATTTCGAATTAAATTTATTTTTTTGTTTGTATTAAAATTTTATCCTCATAATATAATAAATAAATAAATTATTCAAAGAAAAAATATTTGACAAATTTTAATCTTATTATTAGAGTTCACATCAAGTCGAGTTTAGGGTTAGTTTTGTTCGCCTTGAACCCGATTCGACTTTATATGTTATTAAATTCGAGCTCGACCTTACTTGATTTTTTTTTTGTTTTTTCATACTCGAATTTGATCCAGACACGATTCGAAATTGATAAAATATTATTTTTTAAATATCAATATTAAAAAAATTATTATATAAATATATATAATTAAATAATTAATTAAAAATAATTTTGTATATAATATCAGGTCGGATCAGAATTACCCAAAATTCGAACCTGATTTTACTCCAATTATTTTATAATCTTATCTTATTTGACTCGACCTGAAACACAAATTAAAAAAAAAATCAATCTCATAAAATCGAATCGAATCGAAACTCATAGAAAATAAATTAAATTATCGACTCTATTTTATTATTATTTTTTAAAAAAAATTTGATATCAACAATAAAATAATTCATCATGATAATTTCCTAAAAGAAAGTACAGTCATTAGACTAATTTTGTCTTGTACTTATGGAATGTTGTTGGAACGTTGTTTTCATTTTTTTATTTTTATATTTTTTCATCTATAAAATTTTAAACTTCACAAATACAATTAGTGGAATAAAATATACTCATTAGAGTACATTAAAAAAATACAAAATATATAAAATTTTTAATTTTATTTGTAATTTTTAAAAAATTTTAATTTATCCTTAAAAAATTTTTATCTTTTGTTATTTAGGTGGCTAAAAAAAATATTATGCATATAAATTTTTGAAACCTACAACCTATAAATATTAACTCTAATAATTTGTCATTTGATCCAAATATCAATTAAAAATTTTATTTGTAAAATTAAAAATTTTATCATAATATATATAAAATTTTATTTGTTAATTTTCCTTTAACAATGTTTATGATTGGACAGTCCATTTTAAATTCGGAAACATTTAATTTTTAATATTCGTTTTTATAGGAATTGGGAATGTCAACCACTTTATACGTGAAAACAATTAATGCTTCATTTGGTTTCAATTGCATCTTGAGTGCATTGCAATTGTCAAAAAAGTTTGTGTCCACCAATGGTTTGGATATCCAAGTAGAACACGTTTGGCTGCTTTTTCTAATCGATGATTTTAGTTTTAGTGAGCAAATGCAGGTTTTCATCTTTTTTTTTTTTTTTTTTTCTTTATCGTTCATTTTATATTACAAAAGTAAAAATATCCTTATAATTTAAAATTTTTATTTAAACATTATAAAATAATTTTATTAATTTATTATAATAAATTAATTTTAATTATTATAAGATAAATTAATAAGCAAAAAAATTATAACTAATTTTATAAATATTAAATAATTTAAAATTTTTATTAATATAATTTTACTTCAATATTTTTAATGATTTTTTCATTATAATTCATTTCATTATTATCATTAATTTTCATTTAAACACATATTTTATTATTAGTTTTAATTTTATTGTTACAATATTTAATCTTATTTTTATTAATATTTTTAATTTCTTCAAAATAAATCTCACTTTTCGTTCAAATACATCCTAAGATTATTCGAAAAAATAAGCTTGTAATTATATCTCTAATAATCATTTTTACCTTTAGCGGTTTCGCCGTAACTACGAATCCGAAATTGCATCCCCACCACTTTCCACGCTCGAGTTTATCCGCATCGCTATCTGTATATTTTTTTAAAATACTTATCCAAATCCATTTTTCTTTAATTTCTTTTGTTGAATTTTATATGTGCCACGTAACATGAAAAATGCAACGGCCAATTCGATAAAAGAGGTTAAAAAGTATGGCTTTAAAAATTTTGACAAAGCAAAAGCAGAAACAAAATATTCTATTCAACCACAAAAATAGGTAAATTATTTTACTACTATATAAAATAAAAAGAAAACTGTTAAAGAGGCACAGTCCTTCACGGTTTGTTCTGTTTCGGTTTGATTTGTTTGGAGTGGAGGAGCTTCACAATTTGTTCTGTTTCGGTTTGATTGATTTGGAGTGGAAGAGCGTAGAGGGATCAATCACTCAAAAACAAGAAAACTGCTGCGGTGATCGAAAGAGAGAGCAATGGCGAGGCACGAAGAGGTTCCGATTCCGATTTACTCTTCGCTTGAACCGGTGTACGGTGAAGGATCTCAGCTTGAAGAAGCTCAGCTTCGATTCGATAAATTGAAGTCCAAGTTTCTTGAAGTCTTCGGTCACTCTCCCGATGTATTCGCTCGATCTCCAGGTATGTTTTTCTCTGTTTGTTGTTTGTTTAGCTTAACAATAGGCGAGAAACGAACTTTTTAATTAAATCTCTCATTGATTTAATTTTAGCCTTTTTTTTTTCAGATTTTTTTTTTGTTTTTTGCATGTTTAGAAAAAATGTTAAATTCGAACTAGACTTTAGAGAATTTTCTGATTGGTTGCTGAGAAACATTGTGAGAAAAATAGACTGTGTTGAGTGTTGACTAATCAAAACAAGTAATTAAAACGGAAAAAAAGACAGCGTTTACTTTCTCTTTCTAGAGGTCTTTGTGGTTTGGCATTTTTAATTGTGAACATTGGTGATTCTTGATTACGTTGATTTAATGGCTATTTATGTGCAGGGAGAGTGAACTTGATTGGAGAACATATTGACTATGAAGGATACTCAGTGTTGCCGATGGCAATCCGGCAAGACACAATCGTGGCTATCCGAAAGCACGATGAAGGGGAGGCTGAAAAGCTTCTCCGAATTGCCAATGTCAATGATAAGTACACTATCTGTACTTATCCTGCTGATCCTAACCAGGTTTATGACTTTCCTTTGTTTATCAATGTGTTAGCCTAGCGGTTATCTTCCATTTCTAGTTAATTGAGTTGCTTATGTAACTTGCCAAATGTTTCTTTGGCAGTTTCTGTATCTAGCTTCCATTTCCTGGTTGCATTAGTTCCTGCAACATGCAAAAATGCTTCTTTCTTTTTCTATGGGTCTGTTGTCTTAAGGATTGCTTTGAATTTGAGTCAAAATACCTGACATTGTTTATTGTGCAGGAAATTGACTTGAAGAATCATAGATGGGGCCACTACTTCATTTGTGGGTGAGATATTGAATTCTTTTGCTCCCTATATCTGCTTTCTAATTTGAAGTTGCAGTTAGTACAAACTATTGGTATTTTTATCCTTTTCAACAAATATGCAAGTTCTCTTTAAAGCGGCATAGATGTTGACCCTCAAAATGGTGGTGCTATTATTGTCCATGATCTCCAGGTATAAAGGTTATTTCGAATATGCCAAGTCAAAAGGAGTGGATGTTGGTGTGCCAGTTGGTCTTGATGTTCTTATTGATGGAACAGTTCCTACTGGTATTCTTTTACATCACTTGCATGTAGGCTAAGACTTAGATGCTAATTGAATAAAAGTTTTGCTTCATAGGAAGGCAGTTGTTTCTTTTATGGGACAAATTGACTCTTATCTTACATTTTTATTCTAGGTTCTGGTCTATCAAGCTCTGCAGCTTTTGTTTGCTCATCTACAATCGCTATTATGGGTGCTTTTGGTGTTAACTTCCCAAAGGTATGCTATCTTCACTTTTTTAATCACAAGTCAAATTCTGAAATTGTAACACCTGTTCATTTAACAGAAAGAAATTGCCCAAGTTACATGTGATTGTGAACGGCACATTGGAACACAATCTGGTGGGATGGACCAGGTTACACTTTTTGCTACCTACTTATGATTTTATTTGATTTTCCTGAGTGTGGTGATGTTTAACATTCTACCAAGTTATATTTTGATTTAAATCTAATTTGTGATTATTGAAAATTTGTCTGTCACTTGTTACCTTGTTTTATTATGACAGGCGATCTCCGTAATGGCCAAAACTGGGTTTGCTGAGCTAATAGATTTCAATCCTATTCGTGCAACTGATGTACAGCTCCCTGTTGGGGGAACATTTGTGATAGCCCATTCATTGGCAGAATCTCAAAAAGCTGTTACAGCTGCTACAAATTATAATAACAGAGTTGTTGAATGTCGATTGGCTGCTGTAAGTCATATTTGTGTTTGTTGGCTGTGAGAGAGAGAGAGGAGGATGAGGGAAAAGTGAGGGAGGCAAGGGGACGGAATTGAGGGCCTCTTGTATCATGGGCATTTTTACTATCTTTGTTTTGGTGGTACTCACAATGTGCATTCTTTTTCTGTCTCTTCAAAATTTCAGATCGTGCTTGGAATAAAGCTTGGAATGAAACCACAAGAGGCAATAAACAAAGTCAAAACTCTGTCTGATGTTGAAGGGTTATGTGTTCAATTTGCCAGCGATAGTGGTTCTAATGATCCTGTTCTTGCTGTCAAGGTTTCTATCATTGAATTTTCTGCCTCCATGATATTATGATGTTTATTTTTTGTTTAATGTTATAAATCTATGTCTTCTATTATGTCAAACTATAATTTTACCTTTTTTCTGCAGGAATTTTTAAAGGAGGAGCCATATACAGCTGAAGAAATAGAGAAAATCACTGAGGGGAAGCTTCCATCAATCTTGGGTGATAACCCAACCTCTTTGGATGTGTTAAAAGCAGCCAAGCACTTCAAGTTGCATCAGGTACTTTTCTTTTGGTTGAAACTGAATAGAAATTTATTTTGAATAAATATCAAAATTAATAATGATTTATGTTTTTTTGGATATTGCTCATAGTTTTATTCCATTTTATTTACTATGTTTATTTTGTAAGATCAGTAGCATTTTTCAAGCTGCTTTGAGAAACACAGAAAGATAATTGCCTTTTTTATTCTTGGAGCCTATGTCTCCACATTTTCCTTAGAGTGTAGTGTATTATGGTGGGTACTTACTCACGTTACACTCCCTTTACTATTGATTTCCTTACTAGGACTAGTACCAATAATCCTTTGAATTGGGCCAGGCCTTTGAATAATTTTTGCACTTTTTAAACTCTCATAATTAGCAAGTAATATTTTGATTTCTTGCTTTATGTTATGGTGTATCATTTATCACTTTATCCTAATTTCCAGAGAGCTGCTCACGTGTACTCTGAAGCAAAGCGGGTTCATGCGTTTAAGGATACTGTGGCATCAAGCTTAAGGTGACTTTTAATATTTGATAATTATCTATGGTCTTTCACAAGTTATAAAATTTTTAAGGGATACTAGTTGAAATTTCCCTACGGTGTTTGTTGACTGTTGCAATAGAGCTATATTCATGCACCCGAAGATTGATTGGAGTTCTTGTGCAACTGTTGAATATATACGATTGTTCTCAAAGGCTGACAATTTATCTATCTTTCTGCATTGAAAATTGATATCTGAATTGTTCTGTCTGAAAACTAAACTTGTTTTAATACTTGATGGTTAATAGTTATATAATTCATTGTGTAGTGAGGAGGAAAAGCTGAAGAAGCTTGGCGATCTAATGAATGAAAGCCACTACAGCTGTAGTGTTCTCTATGAATGCAGGTAAATTATCAGAATGTGCATAGTCTGTCAAACTGCGCTCTTAGATCATAACTGCAATCTCATTAAAAACATGATTTGCCACCCCTTTTATCGTTTACATTGAAGCCGAGTGGAGCCTTTTCTCATTCATGATAAAAGTTGTTGGCTCATAGTACTCTTTCCTAGTCTCCTTTGTTTTTGTACTGTCCCACACTTTGACTTGACTTTTGGTCTTGCAAAGCAATAATTACTAGAGAACTTTATTGACTAATACTGTTACATCATTTGTGCGTGATTACATCAAAACTGGCACCGATATTTGAAGTTAATGCATGTTGCTTTCGATTTCGGTTTTTTTAATCAATGTTTTTAAATTATGGAGGAGATGTTGTGTTAGCTACCATCACTTATCATTCCTTGTTTCTATAAGTAGCTGCCCAGAGTTGGAGGAACTGGTAAAAGTCTGCCGAGATAACGGTGCTCTAGGAGCGAGGCTTACCGGAGCTGGATGGGGTGGTTGTGCAGTGGCCCTAGTAAAAGAGAGTATCGTACCCCAGTTCATCCTCAATTTGAAGGTATAACCTTATCGGCCCTAACTTTTACTCGCGTTATAAAGGCACAGAAGCAAGCATTAACATTTTGGTTCTGTATCAGGAACAATTCTACCAATCTAGGATTGACACAGGCGTGATCAACAAGAATGACCTTGGTCTCTATGTTTTTGCTTCAAAGCCGTCAAGTGGTGCCGCTATTCTTAAATTTTAGTCTGTTTTTTAACTTAGAAACATTTTCAAACTTTACATTTGAAGAGACCATATGACGCGTCTTATGTCTACCTCCAATCGAATAAAATTTGATTGCCTCAACTGGATGTTGCTGATAAAAGTCATAAAAACCCTTGGAGCTCAAGGAACCACAAATTTCAGTAAAGTTTGATTGTTTTGTCTATGCTTTTGGACAATAAGCAAACTCGATTCGACCTCCTGTCTCTAAATGGATTTGAGATGGACTGCATGTAGAAATAGAGATTAATTCAGTTGAGTCATGAGTTAATATAATAAAAAGATCAAGTTCAAACTAGAGTTGAAATTCGATGTTTGAGTTTAACGTGAGTTTGATCAAATTTTAAAATTCAAATTTAAGCTAGATTTGAATAAAAATTAATTATTTGAATTTACTTAATTAGAATCGTTTATCAAATAAAAAAATAAATTTGATTTTTTTTTCAATTTTAAGTGTGTGCTCAAAATTAAGTTTGAATTTATATATATATATATATATAAAAGGTAAAATAATAAAAAATATATATTAAAATATAAAATTTAATTAAATTCATAAATTATTCGAATTAAATATTAAAAAAAATTAATTTTTAAATTCAATTATTTATGTTTGAATTCAAATTCAAATATATATATTATATAAATAAAATAAAAATTTTAATTAAAATATATATTAAAATATTAAAATTCAATTGGATTCATAAATTATTTAAATCGAATATTAAAAAATTTAAATTTAACTCATTCAATAAATTAAATTGTTTAAGTTTAAATTCAAACTCGATTTAATAATGATATTAAATTTAATTCAAATTTTATTTAAATCAAATTCAAATAATTTATATAGTGATATATTATTTACATCTTTGCGTAAAAAATCTTTTCTTTCTTGTCTTCATTCTTTTTTTTTTCCCTCCAAATCAATGGAGGATTATGCCCCAGTTACAGTTGATTGAAAACTTTCTCCCACGCAAAACAAAATTTGGGTAGTGGGGCTTTTGAGTGTTTTGATTGAACTGGTGGCAAGACCATCATTCGCACGCTGACACGCAGCCAGGAACCCATTCGGCAAAGGTGCTGCTGGTGCTGGGTGTTGACTGTGTGAACTTGAAAAAATGGTAGAGGCTCCACCGATGAAGGGCCATGGTGACCCGAGCTCGGTACTTGGGCTGATCAGTCCAAAACGTCGCGTTTGTACGTAAAATAAATTACTAAAAGTTAGGTTAGCTGCTCCTGTTTATGATGGGCCATACTGGATTTAAAAGATCCAAGCCAACGTGCTCTTGCACGATTAAAATTATCCCAACCTCCTGCCCCGAAGTTGATGTGAACCCCCATTTAATTTGGCCTTACATTTTTTTTTTTTGAATAAATTCTACTAATATTTTCTACCAATCTTTCTTGCCTTTAATGTGAACTAGTGTGACTTTTGAATTCTATATTATTACTTTCAAAAAATTTTGATTGTATATAAATTTTTAATTAATGCATTTATTTTATATAAAATATTAAAATTCGTGTATTTAAATTATATTTTTTATTATATATAAACAGTATATATTAATTTTTTATGAATAAATTAAAATTATTAAAATTTGGGAGACCCCTTTTTATTAAAACAGTGACAGAGTATTCCCATTCTGGTCCAGCTAGAGTTGAGCTCAACTATGAGCCATTTTTGTCCCTACCATTATAACTAAAGCCCAGACTCTTCACTTCCGCATCTGGCTCATGACCCTGAGCGGAGTGAGTCTTCTTGGGGCTGAAAGAAAAAATAAAAAAAAAGAAGAAAAAAATAGAAAAAATAACAAGCTTTGATGGTAACAAAAGAGAAATAGGAGGAAAACAAAGGGGACTGTGCCATCTGTCGGTCCTGTTTCATTAACGGTTTATAAAACCAAACCAAACCAGAGCCAACGAAATTAAAAAAAATAAAAAATAAAAAAAGGAAAACAATGGAAGTAGCTTTTTCTACGTTTGATTTTTAAAGGAACAAGTTTCGAGTTTGTTACATTTTTAAACAGTTTCTTGTCTGTTCAATTTCCACTTATATGGTACTTTTAAAGTTCCCTCCTCACCTTGTCTCTCTCCCCCTAAAATCACTCTTTCTCTCTCTTTGTATCCGAAGCTGTTAAACTTCTACGTTGGCTACATTTGTCAATCTATTTGCATATATATTATGAGTTTTTGTAGATGAATTACGCAAAGCCCATCCCTTGTTTCAAGCTTCTTTTGTGGGCTTTCTCCGTGGCATCGGATCCGGGATCCTCTTGCTTCCTTTTCAAGGTATTTCAGCTTTTTTCTTTATTGGATATTGATGAATGTGGGGCTTTGATTGGTATATTTTCTGGGTTTGAATGGTTTTTTATTTATGTTGCTTTTGTACGAACCAAAGCTTTGCCTTCTTGCTCTGTTTCCAAAGCTTTTGATTCCTTTTTTTTTTTTTTTTTAAATTATTTCAAGCTTGGATTGGTGTTTTCTGGGCATTTAAGGATTTTATGATTGAAATTTTAATGTTGTGCTGATGGATACAGGGTCTGCTTATTGGGATTATTAACCGGAGGTTTGATATATTAAGGAGGTTCTGGCTAATAAGCCTAATAGAAAAGGAAAAGAGAAATATCGTTGCTTTTTTATTGCATGATGAACACAGGCGTATATACTAACTTTATGCATCTGTGGGAGGCAATTTTTGTAATGGGATGATTCTTGGTATTTCCAAAGGTTGGTGCTTTGATCATTGGGAGAAGCTAATCAAATAAAACAGATTGAGATTGTGGTGGTTTGTTGTGATGGATTGGATGGCTCCTAGGGATAAAGATTTAGAACTTCACCTTGAAAATGGAGTAACTGTTAGTGAAGAAGAAGATTATAGCAGAAGCCATGTTTTAGGCCTTAAAAAGAAGGCACTATTGCTGCTTGCTAAGGTTAAAGGCAGTTTTTCTGAGGGATCAGATGATAGAGTATCTTTGTCTGGTGATGATTCAAATTCTGGTTGGCTTTATGTGGAGAATGTGCAGGCAGAGACAAGCTTGAATATTGAGGGAGAGGACTGTAAAGATGCTAAGGAGAATAAATTAGTGAAGGAGAAACGTAAAAGTTTGAGTAATAAAAAACCTCCTAAACCTCCCAGACCTCCAAGAGCTCCATCATTAGATGCCGCTGACCAGAAGTTAATCAGGGAGTTAGCAGAACTTGCCAGATTAAAGCGCGCAAGAATTGAGCGGATGAAAGCCTTGAAGAAGATGAAGGCTGCTAAGGGAACATCTTCTAACAGTAACATGTTTGCCATGGTGTTTACAGTTATTTTTTGTCTTGTCATAATCTTTCAAGGTGGTATTTCCTTATTGGATTTTTTATTCACTATGTTGCAGTTTGTGCTACTTTAACTGTATAAATTCTTGGCTTGCCTGGTTTAAAAAGTGGATTATGCATTATTTATGGTGTTCTGGATTTATTAATGTTTTAGCACCATACTTGATTTTTGCCCTTTTGATGGTTTCTGGCTTCATTTCTTTGGAATTTGATTTTTCAGGATACTTTGTTTTTGCTAATTACTATGGTGTTTTCAATACCTTCAATAATGATAGGTCTTGAGCCAGTTGAATTATTTATGCAAATTAGTATTAAGAGTGATCATTGACTTTTGTTTCCAAGCTCTGAATATGGACTAATGTTCGTTTGCTCTTTTATGCAGGAATGCCATCCAGAGGCACACCGACAAGTATCCAAGGATCTCCAGTGCCAGCAGGAGCAGTGGAGGGAGGTCTAATTTCAGTTCAGTTCTCTGGGAATCCATCTGCAAGCATTCGAAATCGACCTGATTCTAGATCTCCCTAGTATGTAACAGTTATAGCAGCAAAACAACTCTATATTGCATTTCAATATGTTGTTAGTTCTTAAAGTTTTTAAGAATCAAGATAACAGAAGCATGGTAGTCTTGTGAAAATATTTTCACATCTGATTTCTCTTCTGCAGTTTAGTGGCGCAGGTTGCAGGTTTAGATGCTAAGGAAAAGGTGAGAAATATTGTTTGATGGCAAGAGTTCTATTTGTGGCTATATATACAAATCGATCCTGTTCCCATCAAAGCCATTTCGCTGGATGATGTTTTGTATTCACAGCCTTCAAATCTCCGGCGTTCAATTTTTCTGGTAATTTATCCCTTGTATGCTACTTGAAGTGGGGGGTTGAGTTAAATTACCACCTAAATTATTGGTGCCCTCTGGCCATGTTTCTCAACAATTAGCCTGCACAACAACTTACCTGGTCAGATTGTGTTGTGACTTGTGGGATTATGTGTATTCTCTATAAATATCTCATTATGAAACTCAGATCGGCAAAATTTATGAAACTATTTTTCTTTTCCTGATAAATGTTCATTAAAATATGCTGTGCCTGTACTAAATCCTAGAGTTACGAAAACTCTGATGTTAAAAAGAGAGCATAGTGCCGGAGGATCTGACGCGAACTTGTTTGGGATCAACACTCTAGTTGACTTGTGAGTCTGAAATTTATCTGTTTCGGGTCTTGACTCGTGGCTCTGGAGAGGAGAGTTCCTCTTTCGGGTATTTGTTGTTCTTGTCTCTTAACAAACCTATTCACAGTAATGTTTCTTTATCCTTTATCCTTTAGGGTCTCGGATGATGCAATTGCTTATCCTTTCTTGTTTACCAAATATAATCTTAGAGCAAGTCTGGTGAATGTTTCAACCATGAAGAGTGGTATTTGAATTATCGAGCTAAAAGCTTATGTCTGAATGCTGCTTTTTGTTGCTGCCTCTTGCTATATGGCTGGTCTCTTACAACTGAAGTAGAGTTTTCCGAATCATGCTTTTTTACTCACAGCCTGCTGTTTGCGACCAATGCAGATGTTTTTCTGATTGAAGATCACATGTTGTGTTTTATTTCTCAAAATTTTAAGCAGAATTAATGGTGTGAACTGTGAAGTGGCCTGTGAAATCCAGCTTGGGTCGTGAATCCATATGTCATGTGGATTCGCGTGGACTAGTTTTAGTTTGAGTCATCTCTCCAAATCTTTTGAAAGGGTAAGGGGTGAATGCACACTGGTTCGAATCTCCTAATGGTCTCTCGTTGGTAGGCAATCTGTAAGTCCAAAAAATCCGTAGGTAAAAGTGCAATAGATCCATAAATCCCAATTAGGCAATTAGGTTGACAGTTTGTCTTAAATTTTTCTCGACCAAAAAAAAAAAGAAAGAAAGCATCACTCATAATTGCCATTCCAACCAGAGAAAGCATTAGATTTGGCATTGATTCCAATCATGCTCTGGAGTCAAAGGATTTGGAAGGCCAAAGAAGTTAAAAATAAATGAACAAAAACACCTTACATGACCAAATATGATTATAATCACAATTTGCATTTTAAAAACTACAAGAGCATTGAGTCCCATCCCAAGCCATTGCAGCCTATGCAAAGCCCATAAAATGATGAAAGGAAAAGGAAGTAAGCAATGAAGACAAAGAAAGATATGCTATTTGTATGGTTGAAAGTTGAAACTAGAAGCATAATTGAATCGAGTTGAATCAATATAAATTGATTAGTCAGAAGTTGAACTTCGAATTTAATTGAAAATGTTTTAATTTTCAAGCTCCCTTAATTAAATTTATTTAATAAAAATGAGCTTGATTTTTTTTGTTAGATTTTAAATTTAATTATGTGTTTGAATGTATTTAAACTCGAATTGATATATACTACATGTAAGAGTAAAACAATAATTTTTTAATTAAAATAATAAAATATATTAAAATTTAATAATTCGATTAGACTTGTAAATTATTTAAATTAAACATTTGGATCTCAAATTTGATTTACTCGATAAATCAAATTATTTCATCTTAAACTTGATTCAAAAATAATTAAATTAAAATTTAATTTTATCCTAATCAAATTCAAATAATTTATAAATATTAATATATCATTTACCTCCTTACTTAAAACTACAATTGGAAGAACACAAAACTAAAGGCAGGGTTCGATCAACCATGCATTTGATGAATGCCACTTTCAAAACCTTTTTTCCTCTTTACGGCCATGCGATAATCGATTGCCCTCGTACTTGGCCATCATAATTTCTCTCCAATAATTGATATGCTTGAAGATTTTAAACCAAGTTGAGATGAAGAATGTGATCACTTTTTAACTAAATAAATTAATATTATTAGCTTCTGACAATTTGGACTGATTCAATTTCTGACAAGAAATTATAGTATTCTCCAATGGCAATAGTCCATGCAACTTGATAGAAACTTCTACAGCATTGAAATATTGCAAAAAAGACAATAACCCAGACCGTCTTTTCATCCCCTCAACAGTTTCTCATGGATGAAATGTTTGACAAAGACATTAGCTCTCATCTCAATCCAGGGAAAAGTCAAGAACAATGAAAGAAGAACAGGGGTTGGGAATTCTAACTATGTGATTTCAGATTAAAATTGCTAATTACTTACCGCGAAACTTAAGCCGATGGCTTTACTAAAAATTTTGGTGTTGAAGAATCAAAGCGTACAGCCACAGAAAAGGAAGAAGAAACAGAGCATGGCAAATAAAGCTAAGGATTCCAAAACCATGACAAAAGTCCAGAAAACATCATCCAGGATGGAAAAACCCAGCCACCTGAAACTCTGCAAGCTCCAACCACTGGTCAAATACGACAAGTTGAAGTCCGGCCAACGGAAAACCGACGTTGGGAAAGAGAATTCGAAGTCCGGCCAGCGGAAAACTGACAGGGACCACATGCGGCACATCTGCCTCTGTTTTGCTTCCGGAAGCCTCCAAGGGGACTCTTGTTGCTTAACCATAAAGTTGGATTTAAGACAATTATTGGTGGGATATTTTCCATTTACATACATACATACATATATATATATATATATTTATATATATTCGATTTTATATATAATAATAAAATTACGTAGTAAAAAGGTTTATATAAATTTGCTACGCTTCATTCATCAAATTTCATTAAATATGGTGATTGCGAGTCCCTAATAAATTTATATATCGTATTGGATAAGCTTTTTACATCATGAAATTTAGGTATATGTATTATGATTTATATAAAATTTTGTATTAATTTAAATCAGTCGATTTTAAATTTTTTTCGTGTTTTGCGTGCGTGTAAGATCAGTTGTCTGAATTAATTGAGTATTTAATATTGCTTTAAGCCGATGATGTGATTAAAATTAATTGAATATTAATTCATATAGTATATCTTGATTATTGATTATAATTTTAAAAATTATGGATTTATTAAAATTTAAATGTGTAATATTTTTTAAAATAATTTTTTTAAAGAAGGATGCATGCGTGCAAAGTGAAATTAATTTTCCTAAAAACAAAATTTTAAGGAATTTTTTTTATTTTACGTGGCTTAAGATTAGAGCATGACAACGCAAAAAGAAAATTTGGGCCTTTAAGTGAACATTTCCACAGTAAAGGCTCGGCCTTTGATGGATTTAAATTTAATGGGACAGCGATGGAAAATTTTAGCCCTAGATTCCCCCAACTTGTTCCTCGCACGTGACAAGCAGCTGATGAGGAAAAGCGGTAAAGGCGCGCCGCAATGATCCAGTTACCACAAAAGTTACATATTCTCTCATTTAGACCGTTCGATCGCTTTCCACGTCAGCAATCCGCATGAATCCTCTTTTCAACGGCTGAGATCACAGTTGCAGAAGCTACTGGTCGAGAGCGCAAACAAGCTTCCTTTCTCTCTCTCTCTTCTCCCTGCTCACTCTCTCTCTTTCTTTCTCCCAAATTTCTGATTTTAATTCTGATTTTTTTTTTCTAAAGATGAAGTTGATGGAAGAAGAGAGGGAATTTGAAGAGGAAAAGGAAATTAACGTTATGAAAAAGGAAGAAGCGGACGGTGAAGATGAAAGTGAAGTAGAAGGCGGCGAAGAGGACGACGATGAAGATGACAACGGTGAAGATGACGACGACGATGAAGACGGAGAAGAAGAGGATGATGATGATGATGATGATGAAGTGCAGGTTATTCCCTCTTCCGATGGTCCTCCGGTGCAGTCAGTCGATGACGACGAGGATGATGAAGACGACGAGGACGACGGTGAAGGCGACGGCGAAGATGGTGACGATGACGACGACGACGACGACAGCGATGACGATGAGGAAGAAGAAGAGGAGGTAAATTCTTTTAATCTATTTTGATCCCAGTTAGTCGTTGTGATTATTTCAAAATCTTGTATTTTCAAGGCTTTTCAGCTGAAACTGTTCAGATCCGGTGTTTTTCTTACTTAATTGCTTCTTAATCATTTGATTCTTTCACCAATCTGACGTTAAAGCCTCAAATCTTGAGAGTTGTTTTCGTGATTATTAAAAAATCAAGCTGCTCTATCAACACAACTTCACAAATCCAAGAACATTTACTATTGATTTTGCTCAGCTACTAAGGCTGATAGCCGATTTCACAATCCAAAATCAACAGTCGCTCCGTCGTGCTTGGATAATTTAAAGCTTTTCACTTGCGAACATGTTTGTTGGATTCATGGCGTTACACAGTACAAAATACAACATTTTTTTTTTAAATTGTATAAAAGAATCGTTTTTATTTGTTGAGCGCAACTTTTAACTAGTTCCATGTTTGGCAACTAGGAAAATCTGTGGAAAATGGGTTTCTTAATTTTCTTTTTGTCAATTGTAGGAGGATATGGGAACAGAATACCTTGTACGGCCTGTAGGTCCTGCTGAAGATAAGGAAGATGCTAGTGATTTCGAACCAGAAGAAAATGGTGAGGAAGAGGATGAAAATGAAGATGAAGATGAGGATGGTGGAAAGATGGAAGCCCCACCTAAGAGAAAGAGGTCGGACAAAGATGATTCTGATTGTGATGATGATGATGGAGGAGAGGATGATGAGAGACCCGCCAAGCGATAAAACTGTCCCCTTGGATTTAGGACAAATCAGTGACCCATTGCCATATAGGTTAATCTTTCTCTCTCAAAAGCCATCTCTCTTTCTTCCTGTAAAGAATGATAGTATCATCATGGTTCAGTTTTATTAGGGTTTACATGTTCAATCTGGTAATCATAGAAACAGTTGGTTTAGAATTTGTGTAATTTTATGATGTTAGATTCAATTGTAGACTTTGAGAATTCCCCACATTTTCAAGATGATAACATGCTTTTTTCTGGTCAGGTTTCTTAAAAATTTTCATGTGCTGAATGATGATTGGATATCTTACGATTTTTGCATGATCAGCTTATGATGATGATTATGGTATCTTGTTGCAATTTTGAATTGATCAAATTGGCAATTGGTTGGAGGGCCTGTTGAGCTTTTAAGATCATACAAGTCTGATATGATTCTGGTTCAACTTGGCTCGTGGGCCTTGAACAGGTCACTGCCAACTGCGAACCCAATCTCTGATCTCTGTGTTCGGGTCAGATTGGATGATATGGTAAACCAGGATGGAAGCCCAGAACCACGGAGCTTCTAAAAACTAGATTTGGCAAACGATTAATATTTTTTTAGGACAAGCATTTGAATCAGACAACAAAAATCGACCCTTTTGGCTTTCACACCACATTTCCTGACCTCAAAATTGGAAAGCAACATCGGAACTTATAAGTTTACTTTTCAACAAAATTTGAAACCTCCAATGGGAGGGTTAACTCCAAAAGAAAAAAGTGAGTTGCCACCAGAGTGATCTTCTTCTTCTTCCTCTAACCAATACCTCTCTAAAATCTTCACTGCCTTCTCGTAGATCTCATTGTTGTCATGGCTCTGCAGGTTCTCAATTTTGTTCAAACAATCACATTCTTCAATAATTTCAGTATAGATATTTACCACACTCTTGCCTGATTCTTTATCTGCCTCACCGATCTTTAGAATATTATCTAGACCCTCAAGGCACACTGTCACAATCCTCGGATCAGGGCAGACTAGTAGATCACATAGTGGCTTGATACAACCTTGTTTCACCAAGTATCTGTGAAAAACAACAGTCAAACAACTTTGTTAATGGGAATTAAAGACATCGATTTCATGACAAAGAATAGGCATCTTCAAGTGAAGAGGGAAGAGAGAGAAGCAAAACATATTGAATCTGCTCTTGGGACCCTATGGAGGTAGCATTGGAAATAGCCCATGCAGCCTCTTTCTTGATTTCAAATTCGGCATGTTGAAGCAGGTGAACAAGAGGACTAAATATGTTTGCTTCAATAACAGCCTATTGCAAAACAATGATGTATTTCATTAGATCTTGGCAATTATTTAGTTTATAGTAATTCAATGGCAGACACAAATACTTCCTGCATTTTAACCTGTATTTGACTTCTATTTCCAGCAGTGATATTTGAAATTGTCCAACAGGCCTCTTTCTTGATACTCTTTTTGTAGTTCTGGGCGAGAAATTTGTACAGGCAGGGGAGACTTTGGCTGTCTATTGCAACCTGAAAACACACTCACAAGTCAATCACTGTCATGATCTAGAAAATATGAAAAATATTTCAAATTTTGTTGTGTTGAATTGTTGATCATACATGCACAATAAATACCTGAGTCTGAGAATCATCACCGGTAACAATGTTCCCTATAGTCCGGAGTGCAGGGACAAGCACAGTTTGTGAGGGATGACTGAGAACAATAACCAAACAAAAAATAAGAGAAATTTTAAACTGAAAGATGAAACATAAACATCGTATAACCACAAGACATCTTACTGAAGAAGCTCCGCAAGTCGTGGACAAATGCCTGCTTCGATCACAGCCTGAATCTCATCATTTGTACCATTGGAAAGATAAGATAAGGCCCAGCAAGCATCGGTCAGAATTTCTTCGTCAGTCAATTGGATCAGGTGCTTCAAGGCTTGCAAGGCAGGCTTAACCTTAAACAACAAGAAAACCACGCATGTTCTGTAAGTGACAGCCACAAACTTTGCTTCACCCTCCCTCCACTCCACCAGACACACATAGAACAAAGCCAGAGTGGGGGATGGGGGATTCTGAAAAATAACAATTCGTAGATCCTGCCTACCTGACCAAAGGGCGCTGGCGGCTTGCCTCTGCAGAAGTTTAATAAAGCCCAAGTGGCATTCCTTAGCAGAGATAATTCAGAATGTTCATTCAATTGTGCCAGTAATGGAATCAGTCCACCGTGACTAAGAACAATATCTCTAGACTTTGGTGAATCACCAGCAATATTACCCAATGCCCAAACAGCCTGGTAGTCCACAGGGAAGTCAGAGGGGAAAAAACAGAAGAAAATATGCATGATTGAACAGATATGTAGCATATATCAAGACTAAAATGAAAGTGACCTGCTCTCGAATATCAGCAATTGAAGAGCGAAGAAGTTGTACAAATTTGGGTACAGCACCATGTTCAATAACAACATGCGTGTGCTCAGATGTACCAGATGCAATATTAGTCAATGCCCATGCTGCCTCAAACTGAAGATGAAATTCAAGCCCAAATGATTCGGTGAAGAAACTCTGCATTACTTCAATGGAAGAATATTAAAGCAAACCTTACAAATTCATACCTGTAATTGATGCTGATCATGATTGTCAAGAAACTCCACAAATCGAGGAACAATGCCTGCTTCGATTACCTGCTCGATGGGGGAGCAGCGCTCTGCGGGTGTATATATGTGAGCTAATGTTAACCAAATTATAGAGGTAAAGCAACAATGAATGAAGACAAATCTTCGTAGCAAGACATCAAACAAACCATTTGATAATAGCTTTCGAAATAGAGTTGTGGCTTCCAATTGCAACGCTGGATTATCAGATAGTACTCCTTTTATCATCAACGGAAGACATTCCAACTGTCATCAACAATGTGAATTAGAAGTCAGCTACTCATCTTATTGCAAGAGACCCTTGTCTGACAAAATGACAACATCCCTCATAAGAAAGGAACAGCTACCAAAAGGACCACTACTGACTAAACTACCCAGACAGGAACATGCTGCTTAGAGAAATGGTGGAAAGTATAACCATAAAAAGATAGCCATTTCATAAGCATGCAATGGATTCATGAGCTTTTTGGTCACTGAATCAGATGAACTTAGCCTATATTATCAGCATTCAAAGACCTAATAGACAAAGAAGCCCAAATCAAGCACAGAATCAGAAAAAAGAAAAACTTCTGTGAATTCTTACATTTGCTTTGGAGACCTCATGACTGAACTGCTGCTGATACAAGTTCTGATTGTGAAGAAAAAACCCTTCTCTCCGTTTCTTGAGGAGACTTTCTTGTCTCTTTTTCTTTCTTATCTCTACCAAATTGTCCTTTCTTCTCCTTCTCGCCTCCTCTCCATCCACTACTCCTGTCTTGTACCATTTCTTCCTCGTATTACTTGGCCTTATTAGTGGCATTGCTCTCAGAACAAACCTTTGCAAAATCCAAGGTAACAGTAGCAACAATAATTGGTTTGATGAATTATATAGTGTGATTCGATGAGCACGTGAACAAAGGGTTTCCTGTGTTTTTTCAGTTTGTTTATTGGCAACTTGTTTCATGAAGCAAAAAGCCGATTGGAAGTTGGGACTGTTCTTGTTTGTGCGTGTGCTTTTGTTCGGATTTGGCTTGGAGTGAAACGTTCAACTAGTTTAGCTGTTCGAGTAGGGAGAGAGACAAAGGCAAGACAGAGCTGCAGACCTTTGGATTTTTCTTGTCACTTTGTTTCTGCTTTGTCTTTATTTCTCGTTGCCTAACCCACGTCAACCATTACTACGAATATTTTAGGTAACATTTTGTTTTGTCTTGGCCGGTTATAGGTGCATCGAATAATTCATTTTAAAAAACAAAATAATTATAACTAAAATTTACTATTGTGTTCATATTCAACATCCGAAGATAAAGCCGGGCCATTTGGTTTGTATATACTACATGTTTATTATAGTACGAAGTTACAAAATTAAAACACTGATTTAAATAAGCAAGGGACAAACACATAGAAAGAATTCGTCCAGTTTTTTTTTTTATTTTTTTTATAATTTTACTTTCAAAACAATTCTAAAGTTTCTAATTTCAACTTTGAAAACTTTTAAAATTGTTTTAACAAATTTTATCTTATTCAAATATAGACTTGATAATTCGTATCATCATAAAATATCATATTCGATACAGTGTAAAACATTATATTCTTATCGTGTTTTACATAAAAATCATATATCACAGTTTGTATCGACATGAAAATATAAAATATAATTTTTTAATTTTATTAAATTTATTTATATTTTTTAAAAATTTTAAGCATGTTATCTCTATATCTTTATTCATATTATTTTACTGTACCATATTTCAAATTGTTATGTATATCCAAATGTATAGAATCACCTAGAATTCTTACACTACTAATTAACATAGATGAAATTCCAAATATTATTTTCACAAAGAAAGTATTCTCTAAAAATTAATAAAAGTTTTCACTATTTTATCTAAGGTCCGATAATGTGCCTTTAATTAAATCATATTTGTTCAAATAATTTTTTTAATTAATTTTTATTTATTTTTATATTTAATTTAAAATTATTAAATTTCTACAATGAATTTAAGTGAAGGTACATTATTGACTATTAGATAAATTAATAGACTTTCAATATTTTTTAAGTTTCTTTGTTCATAAATTCAAAATTTAATTCAACTGTTTAAAAAATATCATCTAATAGATTTATATTTCAAATCTTAACTTCTACAAACATTTCTTTATTGTCAAATTGCGAATTTTTTTTTAATTTACAAGTAAAATTAAGAAACTGTCATATATTTTATTTTAAATTTTTTTTGTTATACCTTAAGAGATATGTGTTATATTATTAATCCTGAAAATAAAATTAAAAAATTTCAAATTTAGTTAAAAATATTTATAATATGTTAAAAATATTTATTTTTAAACATACTTTTTATTTTGTTAAAAATACTACTATTATCATTTTTTTAATAATTAAAAGTTGATTAAAAACTACAGAGCCCAATTTCAGCCTATAGAAAAACCAAAGTATGGAGTCCAAGAAGCCAGGGCTAAGGCCCACTGTTGAAATTCCACCCAGATGAAAGGGTAGATCAAGGGAATAGACAACGCCAGCCACACATAATGTCGGTGATTTCGACACGCGATTCAAAGTTGTTGCCGACAGCTCATCGATTAAGCATTCCATGACACGTGTAAATTATTTTGTTTTGTGTCAATAATTAATTTATTTGTTGTAAGCAATTGAAGTTGAATCAGCGTACCCCTAAAATTTATTGCGTCCGTTGATCATCATGAATTTATAAATTGCACTCAAAACCTGAATTTAAGTTAAATCTATGTATTTATATTATATAAAATATTAAAATATTATATATTTAATAATATTTTATATAAAAATTATGTGTTATAATTTATATTGATAATAAAATATAAAATATATTTTTTTAATTTTATTAAATTTATTAAAAATTTAAATTATATATTTTTATATTTTTTATTTATCTTATTTTCATAACATATTATTATATTATATTTAAAATAATAACATATAATTAATTAAAAAAATAACAATAAATAAATATATTCAATCTTTCATAGGAAAAATATATTTTTTTCATATTTTATTTATTAAAGAAAAAAATTAACAATATCAAGTGAGATTACACTAATTTTATCATGGACAGTTGAGTTCAGAATTTTTTTCAGTTATGATTTGTGTTATATTGGTAAGGATATTTCATATTATAGTGAAGCTTAATTTTTTTGATTGAATATTTCAAACGTTGTAAAAATATATATATTTTTATATTAAATTGATGTATTTAAAATTTTATTTTTGAAAAGTTATTAAATTTATATTTAAAATATACAAAATTTTCCAATCATAAAAAATATTTAAAAAATTTTCCATGAAGATATTAATAGTTTGAATGCTTGTCCTCCAATGTCATAATAATATTAAGCGTTTAGATTAATTTTGACAAAGAAGTGATAAATAGATTAAAAAACATATGGTTGAGGCGTCAATATCCTCTCGTCTAATCACAATTAACTCTTATCACCGTCCATTCAACATGAAACGGCTTAGAAAACATGGGACTCAACAACTAATCATTTTTAATTTAAACTTAAAGTATAATCCAACACTTTTATTTATAATTTTTTTTTATAAAAATAAAGAAAAACACAGTTAAATTTGCACCCTGTTTCTTCACATTTTCTTTCACTCTTAAAAATTAATTTACTTATAAAAAAAAACCTCTCTCTGTACCGCTAGATTCGAATCAAATCCATCTCTCCGTGTTCTTCGGCTTCTTATCATTTATTTTTTCTTTCCTTTCACTCACCGGAAAAACCAGATTTCAAACAGATCTGGTTTTTTTTTTTAGTCACTGTTTACGCTCAAATGCGCTTCGTTTTGGCGGCTTAACTTCACTTTGCTAAATAATGACGATCGTCGGCCCGATCACTCCCGGTCAGGTGCGTTGTACTCAGTTTAGCATTCTCTGCTGCTATCCGATCTTGCATTTTAAACGATTTTTTTAAATAAAATCTTAATTTTTGAAAATTTTTGCCAGGTTTCGTTTTTTCTTGGTGTGTTTCCGGTGATTTCAGCTTGGATCTATGCAGAATATTTGGAGCACAAGAGAAAATCAGTCGCATCGAAAGCGTCAGTTCTAAATTCCTCGTTTTTCTTTGTAATGCGATTGCAATTAACGTAATTTATTGGTGAAAAATTAAAACTTTGTGTTATTAGGCACTCTGATGTGAATTTAGTTGAAATCGGAAACGATGCTGTTAAAGAGGATGATCGAGCGGTTTTATTGGAAGGCGGAGGTCTTCAATCAGCTTCTCCTAAAGCTCGCTCCTCGTCATCTTCCTTGTCTCCAATTCTCAAGTTTGTCATCAGAGCCGTTGTTTCTTTTGTTTTGTTTTGTTTTTGTTTTTTTTTTCTCTCATTTCTTTCGATTTTGTCGATCAGTTACTTCATTTCTACGATTTGTTTCTGTTAAGGTTTCTTATAATGGAAGAGACTTTCTTGGTTGAGAATCGCTTGACACTTCGAGCTATGTAAGTGAATTTCAATTCGTTGATTAATATATGAAGCATTTCTCTCTGAGAATTAATAGTTTGTAATCTTATAGATCTGAAATCGGTGTTCTTTTGGCGTACTATTACATATGCGACCGCACTGATGTGTTTGCCTCTTCGAAAAAGGTGAAGATTCATAGTACATTTCCTTCTTATAATCTTTTGTGGCTGAATAGATTTTAAATTCACTGCAATAAATATTGTCTAAAACGCGTTGTTATTGCTTGCTAATTAAGTTTTCTTATTCATAATCTGTCTATGCAGAGTTACAATCGGGATCTTTTCTTGTTCCTTTACTTCCTTCTCATCATAGTATCAGCGATAACTTCTTTCAAGATTCACCATGATAAGTCACCATTTTCGGGGAAATCTATACTTTATTTGAACAGACATCAAACAGAGGAGTGGAAAGGTTGGATGCAGGTTTGTGAGTCTTTCACATGATGTAGTAAATCTGCAAAATCTTCTTAGAATTTGTGTTGGATTGCATAAAAAGTAAAAACTCTTTTGGCTGATGCTGGTTATGCTTCGAGTGTTCAAGCATTGCGACACCTGGATTGGTAGTCTTACTCTTATTTTTGTGCCCCTTTTATTTTGCAGGTCTTGTTTTTGATGTACCATTACTTTGCAGCAACAGAGATTTATAATGCTATCCGAATTTTCATTGCTGCTTATGTGTGGATGACTGGATTTGGGAACTTCTCATATTATTATGTGCGCAAAGATTTCAGTCTTGCTAGGTTTGCACAGGTATGAGTTCCCCTAAAGCGAAGATATATAAACTTATGATAATTTCTTCCATGTTCCAACCTTGAGTATTTTGGCTGAACAGATGATGTGGCGCCTCAATTTCTTGGTATTTTTTTGCTGTGTCGTCCTCAATAATAGTTATATGCTGTACTATATATGCCCCATGCATACTCTGTTCACTCTTATGGTTTATGGGGCACTTGGTATTCTGAACAAGTACAATGAGAATGGGTCAGTGATTGCTCTAAAAATCATTGCCTGCTTCTTGGTGGTTATCCTAGTATGGGAAGTGCCTGGAGTGTTTGAACTTCTCTGGAGCCCATTTACTTTTTTTCTTGGTGGGTAACTTTCCAAAGTATAATTTCTATTTAAATATTTTGGGTCATGTTGATGGAAAAAAAAATTGAAAAACTGTTGCAGGATATACTGATCCTGCAAAGCCAAACTTTCCCCGCTTGCATGAGTGGCATTTCCGCTCAGGCCTTGATCGGTACATATGGATTATTGGAATGATATATGCATACTACCATCCAACTGTAAGTCCTGGGGCAATTATTTTCCATCTTTTCATTGTATCTTCTTGCTATGAATTAATGCAATTTATTTAGGAATAATGAGGCTTACAAGCTAGCTTGCTTCTGCATTAGTGTTTTCTTTTTGGAGTTGATGGCTTGATTCTGAGTATTTACTGTTGCAGGTTGAACGGTGGATGGAAAAACTTGAGGAAACAGAGGTGAAGAGGAGAGTATCAATTAAAATGGCTGTGGCGATAATAGCCCTGACGGTATCATATATGCACCTTTTGACTTATGTTCTGTTTCCTAGAATTTCCATCTGTTATTCATGAAGTTCTAATAAACTTGTAGGTGGGATTTTTCTGGTTCGAGTACATATACAAGCTTGACAAGATCACTTACAATAAGTACCACCCTTATACCTCATGGATCCCTATAACGTAGGTCTCATGTTACCTGTGTTGATGTTTTACAAATCTGAACATTTTGGCTTTTACTCAAGTCTTGTTCCTTGTTTTCATCAGTGTGTATATATGTTTACGAAATGTCACCCAGTCCTTCCGAAGCTACAGTTTAACCCTTTTTGCGTAAGTGGCTTTTAACTCATCTCTTGTTTTATTCTTTTACTTTCTGAAGACCCATAAGGACGAACTAATTTTTGTCTGACATTCATCTTTTGTTTTCCAGGTGGCTTGGAAAGATAACGCTGGAGACCTACATCTCGCAGATCCACATATGGCTCAGGTAAGTTGAAGTTGACAACGTTGGAATCCTGGTGCTTCAGCTGTTTGCAAAGAGTTGATGTGATAATTCAAACTTTTAAAATCATAGCATAGGATGCATGCTGAGCAGCATTTATTTATATTTCTTAAGACAATATCGAATCAATGTGCAGATCGGGAGTCCCAGATGGTCAGCCTAAGCTACTGCTTTCTTTGATCCCAGATTACCCGATGTTGAATTTCATGCTCACTACTTCCATATACCTTGCAGTAAGTAAATGGTGTCATCTTTGAAACTTCAAATATCATGCATTAGTCATGAACTGACATTTTTTCTTGTCTGCAGATATCTTACAGACTCTTTGACTTGACAAATATACTGAAATCAGCTTTTGTGCCTACCAAAGACAACAAGCGCCTTATCCACAACTTAATTACTGCTGTTGTAATCTCAAGCATTTTATACTCGTTATCCTTTGTGTTCCTCAGAATACCTCAGCTGTTGGTAAGTTATTTCTTTAGTTCGAATCAATCACCAAGACTCAAATAGCAAAAAGCTCGAATATCTGATCCGACGGCCATCATTACATTGAACTTTGCAGGTGTGAGAATTATAAATATAGAAATACCAAAAGCCTGCCACTAGAACCTTGTTCATTGCTGTGCCATTGGTAGAGTAGCTCGACTGCTGCTGACTTTACCTTCACAATGGAAACGTAAAATTGCAGAATCCATCACACTTCAATTGGAGAAGCCGTCGATCATGCGAAGTCTCAGAACATGCAGCATCAGTTGTATAGGTAAAAGATTTAAAGTCAGCATAAAACCTCCAATTGAGGTGTTATTTTTGTTCCCTATTGGTTTCCACTAGTACAATATAGCGACCATACCATGTCTAAAGCAACTCACATTGGCTTGCATTTTACATTGATCTTATATTCTTCTTACATTTGCCTTTGCTTAATATACACGTGTGCATGGAAAAAATCAAATGTGGATTCATTTGAGCTAGTATAAATTTTATATTTTTTAGAATTTTTAATCAAAATTATTAAATTTAAAAATGTTCTTTCTATTCAAGTGTGTGATAAATTTAATTTAAACATTTTTTTAATGTAAGTGAATTTTTACTCGAATCAAATATATAAATATTTGAATATTAAAATTTATAATTACAAACGAAGTTAAGATGATATTACATGTTTTTTTATATATATTTAAAAAAATTAAATTAGAAAAAAAAGTGAAACATATGTCATCATCTTAATTTTTTTTTTTTAAATTCAAAAATTTTATTACCAATGTATCAAATAATTTATATATATATATATATATATTTATATAACTGCACGCTTGTAGCAAACCTTTTACAATTGACATTTTTACCTCTAATGGAGGGATAATGTAATTTGCAAAAATAAAAAGGTTAGAAAGATTATTTGGATATTAAAATCCATGACCACATATCTACCAATGCCAAAATTTAGAGATCAAGATGAATGCACTAACTATAAATTTATGGGACAATCTGCAAAACAAGAAGCATGCATAAAAATAAAGACATCCATTACTAAACTTGGAAAGATCATTCCTTTTACCAATCTCAGAGCATTTCTCTATATTAGCAAATAGCAACAAGCTAGAAACATAAAAAGACTTGACTATCTCCCCAAGGTTTGATTGAATCTAGGAATTAAGGAAACGAAAAACTAATAGAAAGGAATTAAAAGATAAACGTGGATGGACACGACACTATGGAATCCGCTTACAAATCAACAAGATTGTAAGAATATGTCATAGAGTTGTAGCCAGCAGCGAGGACGACAACAAAGCTTCTCTTCCAGGCGAAATGAAGCAGATGCTTCTTCAGAATATATGCACAATGTCATAGGCAAAACTATTTATGTTAAAGAAAGTAGCAGTAGATTGGATGTGTTATTGATAAAACATATCTAAATGGTACATTCATATCAAGAAACAAAACATGCAGCGTGTACGTGAATCATTGCTAGAAAGTTTTGTAATTTAAATGAAGGATACGTCCAGAATAGCACGAATGACTGCGAAATTACAAGAACGTTGTAAGCCGATGAAATTATTAAAGAATGGATGAAGAATAACCAAAGCAAAGCAGAAATTTTTGATTCAACTAGACTATTCATAGGCGGAATTTTGTGCGGACAGACTCAAAACATAAAGAAGCTTACCATAAGCCCACCCATGAATCCATCGAGTATTATCCGGTTCCAGCTATCAAAGTAAGAGTGAACTGAGAACTTTGACTTTGCAATGAGTCCAATTGAAGTAACTGCCATGACAAGAAAATAGAAGATAAAACCCATAAAGCCTGTGAACCCTAAAATTCCAGCAATAACCCCTCCAATGATCGACATAAACGTTCGGCTGCAAATGATAACAATGCTTAGATATTGCCATCAAGACAGAATTTGGCATCTTACTAAATGTGAAAACAAACCTGTAATATATAACTTTCATGTTATTTTGCAAATTCTCCGCACTAAAAGTTGGTACATCATTCATAACTTCACTTGATTTCTTCTGAGATGAACTTGAATCACCATGTCCAGCCATAACTTATTCTTTATGTGGTTTACAACTCCTGGAAACAAAAGAAAGATAAATGAATTATCTTTGAATTTCATACAAACCACTGATACTCTCAATTCCATAGTTTCAAAGAAACAAAGAGAAACAGCCGAACCCATATCAGAAGGTGAATTACCTAATGAAGCACAGGCAAAATACTTTAAAAAACAACATAGCAACATAAAATCCAAGCATTCCATGTCACAATTTAACAGAGTAGGTTTCCTCTGCAACAGGATCATTAAACAAGGCCGGCCTTTCAGAACAACCCAAAGAAACAATCATAAAGTCCTTAGGCCATGTTTGGTACATAGGATGATGGATAGAATAGGATGAGAATCATTCTATATTATGTTTGGTTTATACCTAAAGAAAGATATATATGATTACAAGGAAGATTAATCATCCTCTTGGTATAGGATGATTCAATCATTCCAAAGTAAAAAGGATTATTTTTAATCCATGGGAGTGAACTAACATGTCTTATTATACCCTTAAAAATTATATCAATAATTTAAATTGTATAAACTTTGAGGAAGGATAATTTTGACCAATAAATAAATTATCCTATTCTAATCATTGCGCACATCAAATACAAAATAAGATGACATTATTTAATCTAATCCTATTCATTCTTATTCGTAATATCATCTTATCTTATCTTGTCATAATCTTGTGCACCAAACACATCCTTAATGTGCAATCTAAAGGATCAATTCAGCATTACCTGGTGTGAAAACAGATGCACGAAGCATTTATCTCATTGAAATTTTTTGTATTAAAGGTCAATCCATCCTTTGACTACAGCAGATGATACCATCCAATAACTGGGATTGCTCAAGAAGTGACCATGAAACTTAATAATAAAAATTAATGGGCATGGTAGGAGAAAAAGCTAAGCTTTACTATCCCAATGACCAAAGAACAGAAAAAGCAGCACCTTTCAAATCTTGGGGCTTTGATCAAGAGACAGCACAGATATTATCAAAATTCCAAATTTCAACTAATTAATATGAAAGAAACTAATATAGATTGACAAACTTTCACATCCAAAGATAATTGAAACGTAGGGGTAGTAAACGATCTAAGCATCGAGAAATCATTCAAAAACAAACAAGAAAATCCAATAAAAAAATAAAAGTTGGGCTTTGATTACGAAGGCTGAGTGTTTGATTATAATTAAAAAAAAAAAAACGAAAGATTTACCCAGAAGATCGGAGAATCCGAGCGACCCTTTTTCTTCTGTTCTGGTATTGATAGTTTACTTCAAGCCAGCCAAGTCGATTTCTTTGTAATTTTATTTTATTTACTTTGATTAATTCCTTACAACCCCCTATATTTATAATAAATTCCACTATTTCCCCTTTGATTTTTATAAATTACAAAATGATCCCAAGGATACTCCTCCTTCAATTTACTTTCAGGTATAGTTTTACCATTTTTTTTTCTATTCAATGTGGCTTTGCTTTTTATATTGCAATGCCTTGTTATATTCTATATTGTAGTTGAGTCGTGGCCTTTGAATTTTGATTGATAACCAGCAGAAAATAAAGTCTCTAATTCAAATAATTTATGATAACAAAATATAAAGTAGAAACTACTTGCACTTATTGTTAAGCAAATGGAAGCCTGGTAGCGATGACCGTTGTGTAAATGAGACCTGGCAATACGGCCATTTGCTATCTCCCTTGGGATTCGTTGCCACTTCTATATACAATCTTTAAGATCTCTTCTGGGGTTCTGTCAAATGCTACTGAAAATTCATCTCCAGCAAGCACATTGCCAGCGACTTTGCCCTCAGCACCCCAATCTGTGAGAATAACAAGGCCTTTATCTTTCCTCCCCGCATGTCCCAGCCTGATCCTTAGCTGTGAAATGGACTAGCCTTCTCCAGTGCCTTCTCTTATGGCAATCCTCGGGTAACAGCATCTTAGCCAGACTCTACGTCTAGGAGTCTTGCAACCCGCTGAAAAAACAACGAGATTTAAATTTTATATTTGTGTAGTTTCAAAATCTGGGTATCCATTCATCTGACGTCTTAAATCAGTTTGACTGTTATGATTTACATTATTGTGAGATATTATCTGTCATGATCCCCTGACCTCACGATTTTATCGTATAAAAAAAGCCTCATAAGATGAAGGCGATATGAATCATTATACATACCAGTGACTCTCTTTTTATGTTTGATGTGGGATTAATGATTCCTTTTTAAGTTCGTGACATTCTAACTTATCCAATCTCATGACGTCCTCATCACAGAAGCTGGTCACCCTACCTACCTTCCTAGACGTAGATCAAACGGTTTAGAGCTGGTTCTGATACTACTTGTCACGTGTCGAAACTTAAGCTATAGGCTCGTGCAGCTCCAGGACCCTGACATGTACTCATCTGACATTTCATATCAATGGTTTAGAGCTGAAACTTAAGTTCTAGGCTCGTGCAGCTCCAGGACCTTAGCATCCACTCATCTCACATTTCAGATCAACGGTTTAGATAGCATCCACTCATCTCACATTTCAGATCAGCGGTTTAGAGAGCTCCAAACCTTGGCATCCACTCGAGGTGCTCTGATATTACTTGTCAACTGCTAGGCTTGTACGACTTCAGGACCCTGACATCCACTTTAGGTGCTTTGATATTGCCAGACTTGTGCGGCTCCAGGACCTTGACATCCACTCATATAACATTTCAATCGTGCTCCTCCAAGATTTTGGTATCCATTCATCTGATATTTTTAGATTAATGGTTTAGAGTCCAAACTCAAGGTGCGGCTCTAAGATCCTGGTATCCACTGACATTTCAGATCAACGGTTTAGAACTGACTCGTGCAACTCCAGAACCCTGGTATTCGCTCATCTGACATTTCAGGGACATCTCTCTTTCAAAAAGGCAGTGGGATTCGACTTCCCTTGAAGGTGGGTACTGCAAAAGGAAGTTGATCATGGGTTATCAATAAACCTAGAATTGATTCTCCCTGGGTCGATGCCTGAATGGTTAATGGGGATGAACTGTAAATTCGTTAGCAATATGTCTACGCTACTTCAAATCCAGCTCAGCCCAATAATTTGCTAATCCGTCATAACATAGAATGCCCATTTTTTTGTATTTTGTTTTCTAAAAAAGTCAAACAAAAAAATTGGGTAAGAATAAAAAAAGTTCAATTTATATTTTTTTACGTCCAACCTATCCCTTTTTCCATCTATATATATATTTTTTCATTTCATAAATGAATTATTCATATTTTCACATCTAAGATTTACATATACAATATATATTACTGTCAAGAGTAAATTTTTTATTTTTTATTCTTTCTTATTTTTTATTATTGAATTTATATTATTTTTTATTATTTTATTATCTTATTATTGATTATTATTGACTATTGACTTATTATTGAATTTATATATTTTATATTTATAATTATATATTTATAATAATCTCCCGAGAATTCTATTTTTAATAAAATTCCCTGTCCAAATATTAGATATTGCGAGAAAGAATATCAAAATAAGACTTTTTGCCTGCACACTCACAACTTCATTTAGCAAAGGGACCTATCCGGCTTCACTCTCATCAGCTTTTGGCAGTTTGACAGGCTTTGGCATGCCTTGGATATTTCGACCCAATCCGCAACCAGGCTGAAAGTTTCCAGAGAGCATAATCTGAGCTATGGCTTTTACAGACAAACTATAGGGACTCGTACGGCTTCAGGTAGATCAACGGTTTAGAATTAGCTCTGATATTATTTGTCACGTGCTGGTCTTGTACGATTTTAGGACCCTGGCATCCACTTAAGGTGCTTGGCGTGCCTAAACTTAAGCTCCAAGCTCATTCATCTGATATTTTAGATCAACGATTTAGAACTAGCTCTGATATTACTTGTCATGTGCCAATCTCGTGCGATTCCAGGATACTGGCATCCATTTATTTGATTATTGGTAGCATATTGGATCAAACAGGTGATTTTCTCGCCTACTGCAGATCCCATACTACCTCTCATAAACTGAAAATTCATAACCCCGATTGCTATAGGAATATCTTTTAGTTGACCCGTACCTGTTGAATAGCCTCAGTTAATCCTGTCTCTCTTTGATAAGAATCAAGGCGATCTTTATAGGGCTCTTCGTCATACTCAAACGGATCAGAATCAATACCATCTGACATTTCATATCAGCGGTTTAAAGCTGAAACTTAAGTTCCAGGCTCGTACGACTCTAGGATCCTGACATCCACTCATATGATATTTTAGATCAACGATTTAGAGTCAAAACTTAAGTTTCAGGCTCGTACGGCTTTAAGACCCTGGCATCCACTCATCTGATATTTCAAATCAACGGTTTAGAGCTGACTCTGATATTACTTGTCACATGCCAGGCTCGTGCGACTCCAGGACCCTGGCATCCACTCGAGTTGCTTGGCGTGCTGAAACTTAAGCTCCAAGCTCGTTCATCTGATATTTCAGATTAACGATTTAGAGTTGGCTTTGATATTACTTGTCACATGCAGTGCTGTGCGGTTGCAGACCCTGCATCCATCATTGACATTCAAATCACGATTTAGAGCTAGCTTGATATACACGTGCTGGTGGCAAGCCATTACTCGATAGACCCGGCATTCAGTGCTTGCATGCCGAAACTTAAGCTCCAGCCTTGCTTGTCACGTGCCAGCTCCTCGACTTGGATCACTCGAGTGCTTGGATGCAAACTTAGCTCCAACTTGACATTTCAGATAACATTTAAGCTGGCTCTGATTATTTGTCACGTTGTGCCATCAACTTACCTTGCATCCATATCTGACTGCAGGAACTCAAACTAAGCAGGACCTTGCATCCACTCGATTCTTCCAAGCACATTAGATTTACTATATTATGTTCATCAGCGTCGTTAAGAGCTTGAGGCCGAAAACTTTAGAGTTAACTCCAGCTCAGCTTCCAGGACCTTGGCATCCACTCGAGGTTTACTTTCAAAACCCTGGCATCCACCTGAGGTGCTTGGCGTGAAACTTAAGCTTCAGGCTTACTTGTCACGTGCCAGGCTCGTGCGGCTACAAGACCCTGGCATCCACTCGAGGTGCTTGGCATGCCAAATCCAGGCTTTTTCATTTGACATTTTAGATCAATGGTTTGAAGCTGGCTCTGTTATTACTTGTCACGTGCGTGCCAGGCTCGTGCGGCTCCAGAACCCTGGTATCCATTCATTGACATTTCAGATTAGCGGTTTAAAGCTGGTCGAAACTTAAGCTCCAGGCTTACTTGACCTTGGCATCCACCCGAGATGCTTGGCCAGAACCCTGGCATCCACTAGATATCCACTAGATACTTCCAAGACCCTGTCATCCACTCGAGGTGCTTGGTTTGTCGAAACTTAAGCTCCAAGCTTACTTGTCACGTGCCAGGCTCGTGCGGCTCTAGAACCCTGGCATCCACTTGAGGTGCTTGGCTAGGACCCTAACATCCACTCGAGGTGCTTGGTGTGCCGAAACTTAAGCTCCAGGCCCTTTCATCTGACATTTCAGATCAACGGTTTAGAGCTGACTCTAATATTACTTGTCATGTGCGTGCCAAGCTCATGTGATCAACGGTTTAGAGCTGGCTCATGCCATCAGTGGTTTAGAGCTGGCTTTTATATTACTTGTCGGCTTGTGCAGCTCCAGGACCCTGACATCCACTCATCTGATATTTCAGATCAGCAGTTTAGAGCTGGCTCTGATATTACTTGTCACGTGCCGAAACTTAAGCTCCAGGCTCGTGTGGCTTCAGAACCTTGGCATCCACTAACTTTTGTGAGGTATTGTCCGTTCTGATTTCCTGACCTCACGATTGTATCCTACAAAAATACATCACAAAAAAAAACGATATGAACCTTTATATATTCCAATGATCCTCTTTTTATGTCTGATATAAAATTAAGGACTCCTCTTAACTCATTTTATGTATGATATAAGATTAAAAACTCCTATAACACATGCACATATAACAATCGAATTTTAAAAGTTCAATTGTTTTCTCGGGGATTAAGTGGGGCTTACCCTCTTTGAACCCTGGACTTTTTGGTTTGCACAAACATATCCGGTGAGCCCAACATAAGGAATTAAGTAGGAAGCAATGAGGTAGTTGATGCTATTGGCGCAAGGGTCAAAAGGGGGCACCAATGGCTTCCCAAATGTATGATCTATTACTTTTGGCAAATGATGATGCACTCAAATTGTGGCCTTGGAAATCCCTTCACTGTCTTATTAATTGCTCTATCAGAACCTGTCACGTAAAGAAACAAGTATGAGAGTATATCAGAAAAGACATGCTTCAAGCGTCCAACTTCTTGGAAAGCAAATTGTAGGATTACATATTTCGTCAATGAATGAAGATTGGCCACTTTGGCATCAATGGGAGGTGGACCCCATGGTTAATTTTGGAACAACTTTATCCAAGCCATGACCCAAAGCACGGTACAAGAAAAACTCAGCCTATAAATATTCTAGATTCATAAGAAACCTTAACAAATTCACATCGGATTTCGGGAGCGAGGATTGTCTATAATCTACGAGAAAGTATGAAGAATATGCAAAAGAAAGGAGGGAGAAGAACAGGGAAGAAATGACAATGGCTGCAGAGGAAAAGGAAGGTGTCATGGCTTTGATTGTCTTGAGTACTTTACTACTTTTGCTAGTGATAGTGACGCATGTCTACTTGAAGGTATTGCTCTTATATATACAAGGATCAAGGCTGAAGGGGCTGTAACGCGGCAAATGGGAATGCTTGGTCAAACCTCAAAATTTATGTGTATCTGTTACTGATTCAGGAGGAGGATTAAAGGAGTTTGGTTTAATGGTATGTCTATGCATGAAGACTCACTCAGTGGATTACAAAACTCATTTTTTTCCTTCCAAGGATATGGATTATAAAGGTTTTAGCCCCCTTTAATTAAGTTAGCTTTTTTTTTATTAAAGGACAGTTCGGTACATAAAGCTTTTGCCATGCATGAGATCCGAAAAAAAGTCTATTGTATATAGTTTTTTTTTTAATCTTTATGCAAAAAAATTGTTTTCACCGTTTGAATCTAAATCACATGACAACAACGTTACCTATTGCGACAAGACTCCCCTCCTAAGCATTTTTATTTATTCGAATTATAAATTTTTTAAAATATAATATTTTTTTTTATAAGATCACATATTAAAATCATATTAACCTTAAAATTTTTGTATTAATGCTGGTGGAAGCCATTAACTCGGGGATTTCGAGGTGTTGTTTCTTGGCCACTAAATGAGGAGTGGAGAATGCTGCATTCATAAAAGATTAGAAGTCCCGTAAAATTTGAAGCTTAAAATCGTTTCCTCCATTGGATTTATCCATCAATAAGATGATGTTAGAGCCGCATGGCAATCCAACTGAATTGCGCATGTTTCTAGGCCTGTTAATACATATGGTTCAAAGCGGCAAAATTGGAACAGCTTTATGCATACTGAGCATTCAGCAATTCTTACAGCTTTTGCTTGCAGTATTTGCCTTTCTCCCTGGGTTAGAAGTCAAGAGGAACCTCCATTAAAAGTGTTGGCTGTTGAGCTTGGTACATGATTTTCATTGTTCATATCAATATAATTTCTTCATTTAATACTTCATAGTCATGAAAATTCAGAAACATACAATACAAACCTTCCAAGAATAGCTCTCAAACCTGAACGCAAAGAGATGTTTAGAAGAAAGCTACCTATTTAGCAACTTTCTCAGCTTTAAGATTTTCTCTACCTGTATTACCCACAGTAGCTGATTTATTATCCGAATCTTCTATGTAATCATCATCTCCTGCAATAATACCATCTTCAAAAATATCCACATCATCCTCTCCATCCCAATCCTCTCTAAGGTCTTCTTCATCATCTTCGACTTCATACACATCATCATAATCTTCATCATCTTCCTCTTCATCAAAATCATCATCTCCACCTGCACCTAGAGTGTGCCACTCAGGTGGAGGCGGACAATCCTCTGTGATTGCCTCATCTCTTTTTATCACCAGATGCCGAATGACTCTTTCATCTATGTCTAACATGGTCTTAAAGTCATTAATCCATCTAGCTTCTAACTCAAAGTTCATCAAGATGTAGTGGGCATTCTTAGCCTTCTTTATCTTGTATGCTAGTCTTCGGAGACCCCAATCATTCAATCTCCACAACCTGCCTCTCTTCTCCCTCAAGAAATCTGCAGCATGTATTTCATAGATATAATAGAAGAAACTTACAGCAGGTTGCGAAAGGAATTATTCCCTTTTTTTAGATTATTCTAATTAAGTTCCGCACGAATATGCAATCACAAGAAGCATTTTGGAGAAAAGATAGATATTAATTTTATCCATTGGCTTGACCATTTTATCTCATTTTTAAAATTGATAGAATTCTAAAGTTGATTAGATATCATCCCAGTACCACCTTAGAAATGAACTCTGTTCGCTTTTCCTCAGAAATGGCAAAAGAAGAGATCTATACCCACTCAGTAAATCTGTTTCAGAGATCTATTCCCACTCTGTAAATACGTTCGAAGGAATTTGTTGGATATTCAATGAAAGGATGCTAATAGCCCAAAACAAAAATGAACAATAAGCATACAGTTTACTTGGAAAAAAAGGAAGGAACAAAGAAGAAAGAACAGATATATGGAAGGGAGAAAGATCACCTTGAACTTTCTCATTGACACTTTCAACCTCTTCGGCATGTTTCTCATGAACTAAATAAACAACCTCATAGTGTCGCACTGTATAAACAAGGAGAATAATGAATCATGAGAAAGTGAGCAGATGTCAAAGCATCATTATAAAGAGAAAATCCATGTCGTCTATACAATGATAAAAAGTTTCGCTTCTCCATATTTGACTAAAATCAGACCAAATGCAACTTTGATACTACACAGGCTAATCAAAACATGAGTTTCCTCAAATCCTTCAACCATCCAAGAAATGCACCACTTTAAGATGTTCTTATTCCAGTATAATATTTCTTGCTTTTAAAAGGGAAGAAGCAGGGAAAAGAGACTATAATTGTGAAAACCAAATCAAAAGCTTGATGGCTATGATAGAATAATAAATTCTTCAAGAAACCAACCATAAATTTCTTTATGTTTAATCCTAGTATTCTAGCACAAACTAGCAGGCTTACTGCGTTCAACGTCCAATGTGCTTTGCAGCTGAAGATTGAGAGATTCATACAACTCTTCTGCAAATTTACAAACAAACTTAATGAGTACAACACAGCCATATTTATTTATCTGAAATAAAAGAGTGGATTAGACAAACTTAATGAACATAGCTGACTTACGTTCTTCATCATCAGCAAAATCCGGGAGAAGTCTACCATCTTCCTGAACTTTCTTCTGCAATTCAAAGAGAAAACCCACATCCCAAATTCAGTCAAAAAGATTAAGCAGTTAAATTTTCTCTCATGAAACACAAAAATAGTCAGTTCTCAATAAGAAAGCCTTGGTCTCTTGCTCTTATTAAGCAGAAAATTCTATCTTTACTAATGTCAGAAATGAAACCCCTATAGATATTGCAGAAATACAAGAACACAAACAAAGAAAGCATACAAGGAGAAGGAGAGAAAAAGGATTTGTAAAGAGAAGAGACCTCTTTGAGAAGCACAGCTTCAGGGAAAAACCCAGTGATCTCATCTGGTTTGGGGATGAAACTGTGAGTGTTTTGCTTATTATCATTGTTTTTCTTCTTCTTTGCCCCCACAATTAAAAGCTTTCTACGACCAAGGTAAGAGGTCTCATGCGGTAATTTCAAGAAAGAGTTTTGGTTGTCAAAGAACCCACTTTTAATTTTCAGTTTTGGTAGACTCGAAGCAACAACTTTTGTAGAAGAGTGTAGGAGTGACTCCATTGCTGGAACCGGCAAAGCGCAGGTACAAGAAGATATCGATTTAATATATGGAATTATGGATAAAAAAGATTGGATTGGGCCATTTCTAGGAGTTTAGCTGGCCGCTACTAACCAATGGGTTGAATCTGCTTCATGTACTACCCAATACCAATGGGCTTAGATTGGATAAGGATTCAGCTTTACTTGATCAAGTGCCAGACATCTGAAAGCCTATTTATACATCGCTCTTGTCAAGTTCTCCACAAAGATGAGATGTGTGATTTTCATTTTTGATCGCATTGTTCGTGGTTCACATCCTTTCAATTTTCTTCCTTGGGGAAAGAAAGAAGATAATTTGTCCTGAACTATCTTCCTAGCTTCATATGTGGCAACTGATTGCATTGGTACTCATGAAACCAGTTCTGGAGTTATAAAGCGTAGCATCATAAAGCATCCCTAGAAAAACAAAACTGCTTCTACGGCTCTAGGCTTTGGTCATTTTTGTCTTTGCCATTCAGTTTTAGCTTAATCGAGATCGAAATACAGACGGCTTCTCACATGGGGTTGGATGTGTGCTTTGTGGTTTATACGAGGTTTCGTATTAATTCAAATCAACTGATTTTAAATTAACAACGTATTTTATCTCTAAAAAAAAAAAAAAAAAAAAAAAAACAACAACAACAACAAATTATATGTTCTCTTTGTTTCCGTAAGCCATCAGCGATGGACTATAAAAGTAATGCCTGAACGTCCCAATTAAGTGAAACTCACATCTCGCATTAGACAGGCTTACATCGAAAGATTGGGATGTGTGAATTGTGATTTATACGAGATTTCGCGTTAATTTAAATCAATCCATTTTGAGTTAATGGCAAGACTTTCCTCTGAACAGAAAAAAAAAAAAAATCAAAATAAAGACAAGAATAAGTAGGCCACTGCAAATATTTGGAAATGCTGTCACCAGGAAAGATTAACCTCCAGGCTTTGCAATCTATTTCATACTTTGTATGATGCTCCTTATCTAATTATTTGAGGAAACTGCGGGAAAAAGAAAAAGATAGGAAGAAGATAAAATGCTACATTACATTGGCTTGATAATATGCTCAAGGCGCCTCTACTCATACTTTCCCGAGAATAAGTTCAACTTGGATTCATGCTTTCAGGAGGCAATCAGTTGTTTTTACTGCCAAAAATTGCTTAACCCTCTAAGGAATCTGGGGTTACAAACAAATCATGATGACTGCTCACCATTGTTTCTTTCCTTTTTTCTTTCTCTTATTTCCACTGCCACCATTCGTATTGCTACCACTACTCTTCGAGCCACTCCCCGGTTTGGCAAACGGGGTCTCAGCAGAGGTGCTGCCGCTAAAATTGTCAAACATGCCTGCTTGTACTGCATTCTGTAACCACTCTAAGAATTCTTCTTCTGTCATGGTTTCTTCCAGATTAGGTGTTGGTATCTTGCCACCTCTCTGTCCTGAACTTGATCCCTTGCTGGTACTATGCTTGGAAGTCACGCTAGTATTCACATGAAAACTTGGCTTATGTGTGTTAGGTGGACATCTCATTCCCTGCAACAAAATCCAGCAGTATTGAGTGTTCTATCCTCAATTATAGACTTTGTAAGAGTGGCTCTAGACATGGATGCAGATTGCAAGGGTGTCCACATCAAAGTCAGACACATTTCTTGCCACTAGATGCATGAATTGGATCATATCAAAGGCCAATTTCAATGTTTGAAGAGATAAATAATACAGTTTCACAAAAGACAGATATGAATGTCAAAGTGGAATGTTGAGTTTCTCTCTCCCTAGGGCTTTAGGAAAGACAAATAGGTACCACTTGTGAAAGCTCGCAAAACCCATTTTAGCATCGTATTCAACTCCAGATATCTTTGTATTAACAGTTTCCATATGTATTTTGGGTCAAACTTTCAGTATATACTTTGAAAAGTTCATTTGTAATAACCAAAGATCACTTCAAACTTTTGTACATATAACTAGAAAGAAAGCACTAGATCCTGTTAAACTTTCGACTGTGATGTTTCAAAGAAATTCATTCATGATGGATGGCAAATTAACTTGTTAAATACCAAGTAAACATCACTTTACCTGACAAATATACCACTCAGTAGCATCATATATCTTGTTATCAGCACAGACATAGGAAGAGGGAGGATCCACCTAGACCAATTAGGAAATAACTTTATGTAAAAAAGCAGAAACAAATCTCAAGAATATCAACTGAAACAAGACTTGACCCTAAACTAACGGGGGGTAAATATTTTAAAAGCAATTCCCATACCTCTTCTTTTTCAACTGCATTTCTAGAGATCATACTATCCATTTTGTGTTGAATCAAAGAAATAGCAAAAAAGAAAAATTTCAGCATGTAGTGAGAGGTGGACAGTGCATACCTTCTGCAATAACCCAAAAAAAAAGGGCTGCGAAGATTGTTCAACCCATCCATCTCCATCTTTTGCTTGATGAAAATCTTTGCATTCCTTAGACAAGATAAAGTTCCAAAAACAAAATTAATTCCTTGTTAGGGAACACCATTTTAAAGATATTTGGGTTTCTCATGCCTGATAACAATATGCTGGTTGTCAAAGTCATGAACAAAAGGACAAGTTAAAACAATTCATGCTTTAGGCGGAAAGCACATACCTGGCACCATCTTGCTTGAGATTTTGATTTCTTGGTGTGTACCCAGACATGAAAGTTACCACATTTTTTGCAGGCAATTTGCCTAGATTCTCCAAAAGGTTCCTTCCCGTCAGCCTCTGAACGTGCAAATACAGAGGAAAAAAAACCATGTCGGCCATTCTGGACAAAGAATTGCAACAAAAGGTTAAGTAAGATGATGCAAAGATTGATATACCTACTGAGAACATGTAAAAAACTTCCATCCACTTCAGAAAAATATTTGCCATGCAAACATGATCCACATCCTTTAAGAAAACGAATAGAAATGAAATGCTTAAGACAGTCATTACTTGGCAATAATCAGAAAAAACATTTTACTACAGCATTAGTACCTTTCTAAGCTCTAACTCAAATGACCAGTGGCAGTAAATAAAAAACTTAAAATAAATAAAGCAGTATAAAGCTACTCTAGGGTTTCACAGACACGTCTGACAAGTGAAAACCCTCTGATACAGCTAAGAAAATGACATAGTTCAATGAGACAAGTAAAAAGTCATAAACTGGAATACAGATGCACCAAATGAATGACTTGGAAATGTGTACAATTAGATAATCATGAGCTTAATGATCTATAAAATAAAATAAAATAAAAAACTACTTGTTACATTTTTCTGCTGGGAATGCATAATAGGAATAATCACAAATAAGGATGCTGGGGGAAAGTCAAAGATGATTATAGAAACCAAAGTCTCCAAGCAACTTGAACATGATATTCTTCCTTTATATTCAAGTGAAAACTTGCAGGATGTATGGTCAAACCTTTTGAGAAGCATTTTCAAACCGGCGGAAATAGTTTAGCAGCTCCTCCCTCCTAAGTTCATCATCATATGCTTTTCGCTTCAAGGAATCAGGTAAGACCTATAAATGAAATTATATTATTAACAAAAAGGAAATGTCAAACCACCAAAGGGGGGGGGGGAATAATAAACCAAGAGATTACCTCATATGCATTTTGAAGTTTTTTAAAAGCATCTGCAGCCTTTTCATTACCCATATTCTTATCAGGATGGACCAGCATTGCCTAGCAAACAGTGCAAATTTCAATACCATAGACATCTTGTTCCTATTTTTTGGTAAGCAATTGGAAAACAATAACAAACAGTGGGTATCATGTGTAAGCTTATCCAAAAGAACTTTCATAGAAACTCACTTACATTTTACTCCATTGACTATATCACATTTGGCCAATAAAGTTCCAGAAAATTTTGAAGAAATATTCAGAATGAGTGACAATCACAAATGGAAATATGATTTATGATCATACAAATAGTGTGAAATAAACATAGGATGTACCTTTTTTCTATATTCTCGCTTCAGTACATTAACATCAACATTCTGATATCGTGACAAACCCAATACAGAATAGTGATCAGTGCAGTTCAACAATCGAGCAACTTCCTCTTCAGAAGTTATCTCAGTATCAACCCCACTAGTTGAAGCTACACCAGGACCACGATCTGCTGAAAACCCTGGGACATTTTCAGAGAATGAAGCATGCACTGACTCTTCATTGAAGAAGCCTGGTTGACCATGCATTCCATTGGTTTGTTCGGGGTTTCCATCAGGTCTTGCTTGCTGATTTATGTTGTTATTTAGGTAGTAGATCAAAACATCACTTGAGATAAATGATAGATTTAGAGCCAAAAGTAAACCGAGCCATCCAGCATATATCCAAGCACAATATACAGAATATATTGTGGTGATCAATAATGCAATATGCTCATGGCTAAATGAAAATGCCAACCCTGAATAATAGAAAAATTAGAATTCCATAAGTTTGACAGAATAAAATTGCAGATAGATCTAAGAAAAGGGAAAAAATTACCTCCAAGGAAGATCACAAGAAGTGTTGTCCAGAAACTTCCATAAAACCACAGGAAAATAGTTCCAAAAACAGCTACTACCAACATTGCGACAGTAACCCCAACAAAAACTGCTGTCAGAGCAGCTATGGCCTGTGTAATCAACATTTACACAAGTAATATGAATGCATAGTTTGTCAATAGCTCAAGAAATTCCTCAAAAGATTCAATAAATCGTTTTGAAAAAAATTACACAAACCTAGCACTCAATAGCCCAAGAAATTCAACAACAAAATCAAATAAATCCTTGTGAAAACATTTTTATGCAATCGATAGTTCAAGAAATCCTCAACATGCAAATTAAGGCATCAGGATCTCATGGAAAAAGAAACGTTAGGAAAACAAAGAGGTGATGGAACCAGTGCTTACCAAGACCATAAGAGACTTCACCATCCCGACCACGGCAATCATTGAGAAAATACTGCACCATATAACTGAAAAAAGAGATGTAGTACCCATGCGCAGGAAGGAATCAATGCCCCTAAGAGTGCAGTCCAACCAGACTAATGATAAAAGAAGCATTATATTTCCAAAATGCACGAGCCATCTCAACACAACGGGATATAAACTCTCAATCTTTACTTTGACACGATCTCGAGCATTATACATGTTAGCTGTGAGGGAAATGAAAATTGGCCTCTGCCTCTCCAGCCACTGGCTTATCACCTTCAAGGTGGATACAGCTGATGCTCTCACATTTCTTACCACCACATTATCTGAAAACTCTACATTATCCAAGGCATCTTTAATGTGAAAACCATTCAGCAAGCAGCTCCAAACTCCTTTTTTGTGTTTCAGATTAAGGTTCTCACCAGGTGATATTTCATTCTCTTCCCTTCCACTTGAAGCTTCCTTTGAAGGTGCAGTTTCAACACAAACCTCTGAATTGCTCCCAGAAGATATTGATCGGCCAAGAACCTCAGCTGCATCCCCATGTTTCTCTGTTGTCACAGATTCCTCAGCATTCTGCTTATAGTTATTCTCAGTACCTGCATGATGACCTTTGCTAACGCTCTCTGCTGAAGGACTGCCAGGAGGATTACCATTTGGTAGTTCCTCTCCAGGGAAAACCTTTACCTCACTTGCTTTACCTCTTCCATTTGCATTGGGGACTGCCTCTGAACCCCTTTTCTTCCCATTCTTCTGCTGATTACCTTTTCGAGCCATGAAATTATATGTATTGTCGTAGCTTCGTAAGAAAGGAAATTACTTTAAGCCATCCCTAGTCCAGAAAGGGAACCATGGATGATAGTTTTGACATGAAAAGACCTCCCCTAAACCAAAAAAATTTCACCTGCAACCAAAGAATGAACACAGTTAGCCAGTATATTTTGGAGAAATGCTTAACACAAAAACACACTATAAGATAACCTATGAATTTATACTTACTAGAACTTGTATCAGGGTATGCCAAAACAGGTATATAATGAAAGTTCATGCACTAAATATTCATCAGGTTTGATGTTGCCACCCAACACCAGGTAAAACAAGTTACTTGATACAAAACAGAAAAAGAAGCAACAGAGGTCTGATGTTACCAATTGACGAACTATCAAAGAAAATCCAAAATTGAGAGGATCATAGTCTATTATCACGCAAAAGTACGAATTGCACAAAAGACTGGTGAAAGAAAAACTATCTGACAATTTTCACAACAGCACCAACAAGACTTCCACAAAAATTCATCAATTTATCAAAAGGAAATTATTTCCTAGAAAGAAAACCAAACCTAGCTTGTAATTTCCACAAGAAATGAGTAAAACAAATTATCTTTTACTTTATTCCCAGTAATAACAGTCAACTTTTTAATCAATATGTTACTAAACACAGCTAATTCAATAACATAGACAAAACAATTCACATGCCTCTGTCAAGCTGGCAGCTATAACAAACAAGAATAACAAAGAAAACCCATTTGGGAACCAAAACCCAGAAATCATAACAGCAAGAGGGAAATATTAAAAGAAAAAAAAAAAGGCCTGTATAATCTACAAGAAGAAAATAAAGAACACCCAGATAGTCAAATCCTGCAAAAACAAAGACTTGACATTTGATAGAAGAAAGGGTAGGCAAAGGAACAGTTACCTTGGACCAGGGGAAGTGCAGTCACTATGGAGAAGAAAAATGAAAGAGACCCAAATAAAGAGAAACAATAAAAGCCCTAAAAATGAGAAGTAAATGAGCATTAAAGAAAAGGGGGTCAATAAAGCGTGATATTCTTTTGTTCTTGATGCTATAAAGCTAAAATTTGGTTTGTCTAATCTGTTTTCCACTGATTGAAAAACAAAAGGGTTAAATTAAAGGGAAGGTTTTTTAAAAAAATAAAATGGCGTTCTTGAAGATTAAAAAAACCAAAGACAGAATTTTGGGGAACTGCATAAAAAAGAGAGTCTTAAACACAGGAAGCTCTAAATGTATGTTGTGTTCTTCGCATCCTATGACCAAGATTGGATTTTCCTGTTAGGGCCTGTTTGGTTGTTGACCTTTGGTTCAGTTCTGTCCTCGAATTTCTTGTTCCTGGTTAAGGTTATTATTTTAGCCTCTTAGGCTTTTAGCAGGTTTTTTTGTCGAAGGATTTTTTTTTTAAGAAAATAATTAACAGATTTAGCATGCTAGGCTCATTTGTTTGAGTAGTGATTTTAAAGAAAAAAATAAAATTTAAGAAATATATTAGTGATCATTAACGAATTTTTTATCAGTATAATATGAAAAATAAAATTAATATTTGAATTTTTTAATAAAAAAATAATTTAAACAAATTTGAGTAGCACAAGTAATATATATATAATTTAAAATTTAATTTTATTAATTTATAATTCATTTTAAAATAATATTTAATAAATTTAAAATTTAAATTCAACGATCGCGAGATTTAAATATTAAATATGAACCATAATTCACATACTTCATAATTTATTTCATATATTCTATACTCCATAAACTAAAATGGCTATCCGACGAGATTAAAGTATCTCGATCAAGATTATAAATTCATTTTCTATCAATCATAACAAATTACACACTTATATTTCAAAAATACAAAAATTTTGCAATCAAAGTACCAAAATAGAATGGGCTAAAAAAAATTTGAACACAAATTTTCACTTTGTATTGAAAAGCTAGATTTCGTGATTCTTGTGAATCTAATTCAGTGAAATTTCATGCAGTAAAATGAAAGTATTATAAATCTCCAAAATAATAAATATGATTTTTTTTTTAAACAAAAGAATAGGCTGATACAACACATAATTTATCTATATCTAAAAGTAACCTCTGTCATTGCTGTCACCGTCCAAGTTTGGCATATAATTGATGTTTAATGTGTTGATGAATCGTTACTGCATTTGAACTTCAAAAGAAGGAAAGAAATTGAAGAGAAATGGTGTTTGCATCCTTGAATTTTGTTTATGATTGATTCCATCTAACTAAAACCAAACCATTCCAGCAATAAGTTCCACATACTACATTCCATTCAATTATCCAAACATATAAAGCATTTTCATGCAGAAAGCTAAAGGCATCACTTCATAACATATCCACTTCATTTCCAAGCTTCAAGATAGAGGAGAAAAGGGAAAAAGTAACATGCACAACTTTTGACCCCATATCTACTCTGTAAAAATGGTACGAAAATGACTAAAAAGATAGGAATTAATGGTGATGATGTGATCTGATTTTGCTTTCTGGAGAAGAAAACATTCTAGCATTCAACAAGAAAACAATTCTGGAACAGGTTTTCAAGGCAATGAAACCTGGATGAGGAAACAATGCTGAAATCCATAACTTTTTGTAGGCATTTATCTTTGTTGGGTTGAACTGAGATGATATGATTTCAACAAATACTACAATTAACCAAGCTTTGATTAATTGTGATGGTCAGCCAAAATGCAGTTAAAATGCTTCAAACACTCAGAACCATGTCATGAATTTGTCCCACTACCAGCAATTAGCTGAATACTAAATAAAGGTTATACTTAATAACCTATGACCATAACTTTTGCCAACAAAAGTACAAATTTCAGAACCACAAGCATACTCTGCTTAATAAATCGTTCGTATGAATAATTGCATACAATAAATTTTAAATGATAAAGAAAGAGCTTAAAAATCACAAATGTACAAGCCACAATGTTTAAAATGAGTTATTTATGTACAATAATTCATTATATGTTTACCAAACCTAAATCACAAGGGAAGATTGTGCTCTGAAATGCATGAGCTGAGAACCACAATGGACAAGTAGCACTGTTTTTCACAGAGTACATCTCCTTCCACACTCTACTCCTCTGATGGTATACTAAGACCTGCTTGTGGGTTGCCAAAAAGACATACTCACCAGTTTGAGTGATAGGGAAAATGCCAGGTACTAGTCCCCTAATGCATCTAAGACTCACCCTATCCACAATATGCCACAGTTCTCTCTCATAGTCTTTCATTACCCAAATCTTCATCCATGCATCTGAAATCTGAATCAAAGATAAGCACCCACTGGACTCCAACAAATAAACTCTATTCCCAGTCCTATAACTCACTTCATCAGGCAATGAAATCTTCCTCCATATCTCATAATCCAAATCAAGTGCAAGTATATAGGAACAACTAGCAGTTAACCAATGAAGGGCACCATTAACAAATACAACTTGATTCTTGTTCATATGGGTGAAATGATCTTCTTGAAATGAAAGAAACTTCCTCCACTTATTCGAATCGGAATCAAATATCAAACATATGAAAGTCCCATCAGGTCTATGACCAAATGTGCGATGATGCCCCGCTAACACAACATTAAACTTATTCCGTGATAAATCACATGCTAAACCAACAAGCATGGCTTCCCCATCAGGATAAAACCGCGTGACAGGCCTCCCTCTACTCTTAGGAAGCAACTTAAACTCTCTAGTCATAGGGTTACAAACGTAGAAAACACCCTTATCAGGAATGCTAGAGCAACACAATAAGCCATTACATGATGCTCTAACCTTGACTCTATCTTTCAAGAAATCCAACGAAAATTCAGAGACACCCCTCAAGTTATCAACACAAATCAAGCTTGATTTCGATTCTGTTGAATCCGAAATCTCAACCAGCACCATTGGGTTCTTACCAGACACCTCATTATAAAGTCTTATAAAATACTTGTCCGATGCTAATCTATACCAAAGTTTGCAGACAGTTTTTGCTTTAAAAAGGGACTTTACAGGCAATCTTGCCAGAATCTGAAGAACAACTTCATCAGGGAAAAAACCCATCTCTGAAATTCATAATTCAATCGAGAACCAAAAAAAAAAAAAAAAAAACAAAGAATTAAATTTTGCTTACCAGGTGAACTGAAACTGTCATTTCTGAGACAAAGAAAAAGTCTCTTTTTTTTTTTTTTTTTTTAATTCTATTGGGGTTCTAATGAATCGTATGGTGAAGCTAATTATGTGAAAGGAGACGATGGCGGTTTGGGGAAAGCGATCTGCCATGAAATAGCAGTGAATTTGCAGTTCAGGGCCCTTCACAAAGAAGACATAACTAAATGGGCTTTTCCTTCTCCTTTTCCTTTTCCGATGGTTAAAAACGGACTCAACCCAGTTACCTTAACTGAAATCCATATTTAGATTTGAATAGTGGTGTATTTGTATAATATAAAATATTAAAATTTATATATTTTAATTATATTTTATATAAAAATTATATGTATAATTTATGTTGATATAAAAATATAAAATAAATTTTTTTATTTTATTAAATTTATATATAATTATTATTAAATTTTTAAAATACATTATTTTCATATTATAATCATTTTATGCTATAGATTGGAATATCCGGACGACCAAGAATGTCCTGCTTCATGAATTAGCTTTTTCAAACTAAACGACGGCGTTTTCCTTCCCAAAGGCTTCAGTTGCGCAACAAATTTTGTGCTATTATAGTAACCTAACGCTTTCCATTTTTGACGATTAATATATTCACCAAAAACCAATTCTACTAAAAAAATAAGAACATAAGTCCATTTTGTTTTGTATTTAAAATTGTTAATAATTCAATCTTAATCACTAAGATTTTAAGAATATAATAATCTATCAACAAGTCAAATAGTTATTGAATTTTTTTATTTTTTATTAATTAAAGAAATATCTTTTTTGACTAAAAGAAAATGAAAAGCATAATTGCACATTGAATTTGATTTATTCAAACTTGATTTTTTTTACTATGTATCCCACTTTTAATTATATTTTACTTTTTATTTTCTAATAAAAAAAAGTAAGAAACAAATAAAAAAAGTCAAATGGATAAACTATTATTACATGACATGTGGCAACATTGTTAGAGTAATAATTATTTAATTGTTTTTACTAAATTATTACACTATTTATTTTATTAAAAAAATTAAGTTACTAATAATATAGTAATAATAAGTTATTGGAATATTGAGATAAATGGGAATGTGAATAAAAAAGTTAAGAGCGGCCAATGAAATTTTGTAGCATTATTTAATCCTTATTACACAATTTTTACAAATATAATTTCTTTCATAGATTTAAACAAAGGGAGGCTTGTGCCAACAACAAAATCATTAAAAATATTTTATTTATTATTTTTTTAGTGTATGTTAGAAAATGAGAAATTGGACATAAGTCATAAGAAATGTGAAGGGCTTGTGCCAAGTGACCAGTCCTTCTCACAGTCACTAATGTCAGCCCTTGGTAATCACGATTCAAATCATGAAAACAACCTTTTGCTAAAATATCCAAAAAAAAAAAATGCTTATAATAGATCCTTTTCGGGATCCGCATATAGCGGGAGAGCTTTACGCAGCTGCCCTTTTTTATTCTCTTGCATCAATTTTACGCATTCAAAATTTATTTCATGCAGTAGTAAAGATAATGAAGAACCTGATCGTTGTGGAACCAAGATTGCCAGGGTGATTTAAGAGGAAGCCCAAGTGCTTCAACTGTTACTATTCCATCCATGTCCCCACTGTTAAAAACCAACCAAGCAAAATCAAGATAAGACTCAATTATTTCTTCCCCAAACTTTGCTTTTACTTTGTTTCTGGATTGTCCCCATTAGGAGACTTGGAACAACATAAGTCTTGAATTAATCTCATTTCATTATTCCATTCCACTCTTATCCTGTTGGGCATTTATAGTCCAACATTCCAATTTGGCAACTCTTAGATGAGACAGCATTAGAGTACTTAAACTGACAATTTCACTCAAACTTAACTTTTGACACTGTTGATCTTAAACTTTTGATCTTAAAAATCCCAAATGTCATATGATTTTGAGGAATAACTTAGTTTATAATCAAAATTTGTATCCATTTTATAGTAATGGAGTATGAAAATTGGTTGTACCTATAGATCCACATCTTCAGGTTTCCTTTGATAAGCTTCTTGTAGATAGGCAGTACGGAGAAAACAGAAATATTATATTTCATCGAGACAGAATCACTGGAAAAATCAAAATCACGTTAGGAATCAAATATGAAAATTAAATGTTAATCAATACCAGGAATTGGGAATTCCTTTTCTTACCTGCAGCTCTTCCATTTTCCTCCTCTGGTGTTTGCATGGAGAGATGTTTGAACATCTGCCCTGTTGAAGTATTTTTCCGCATATTCAGAATAACATGGATCATAGCCTCCTGCGGGGATCCTCAGCCTGCTTAAGCCATAATTTTTTGCCTGCAAAATGGCATGGTTACACTTTTAACATCATATTTCCATTCATGAGAAACTTTATTTCATGTTAGATAGCTAGATATTCACCTTCCTAGCAGTTGATGAAAATCTGCCGTTAATAACACATTTGGGGCCATAGATATTATAAATATCAATTTCCGAAGACTTCCATAACAACATCATTGCATTCAATGGACCAGTTTGAGACCTTGAAATCACACACTCGTTTGACTTTATGGTAGAGCTCGTCTGATATTACAGAGTGGCTCCAAGCATAGTCCATTATGCCAGTGAGGTCATAGTGATCATTGGTTAGTGGATTTCCTACCTGCAACATGTATTTACCTTAGGAATGTTTTGCTCATATATATTCATTAGACGCTGGTGTGTGAGTTTGTGGTATTTCCTATAGCTGAGATGGCATTATTTTGCAGTATAGCATAAAAGCTTACTATAAAGCCTTTGAAATGAAGGTCGCCACCATTTTTACCAACTCTTAGTGGACCCAACTCCGAAGCTGCACCATAGGCTATTGAAGAACAACCAGGTCCTTTAACAGCGAAAAGATAAGAGTCATAGAGTCAAATCATAGTATTATACACTGACTGTCAAGAATGAGTTGTTGCATATTTATACTAGACTTAAAATTATTTGCAAACTTGCAATAATTGTTCATATAACCTCCATTAAGCCAGAGTAGGAGAGGCTTCTTGGATGGTTGAGACTGAGCTTCCAAGAACCAGTAGAAAAGGGCCCTACCATGCTCTTGATTTACAGTGATATACCCTGAAAAGTGTGAAATAGATAGGCTCGCCGGTTGGCCAGGTAGATTGCTTGCTCTATCAGATTCCTGAGCTGTCAGGTAAGTTCCTGATGTATTAATGCAAGGAATTAAAAAACCAAGAAAGAGACATGTGAATGAGGGACAAGTGAAAACTCCTTTAGCTGGAGCTAAGGATCCCATCTCTATTTCAAGTTCTGCAACTCATCTATAAGTTGCAAAGCTGGAGTACTTTCAGGAATGTATTTGCTTGCATTATGGTATCTAATTAACCACTTAGCTAAAAGAGTCAACTAAGAAATTAAATGGCTGAGATCCAATGGGAAAACATCTTTTAGTTGATAACAAATAGGATAACAATCACTTTCATGGTTTTTTCGGTGGATCTTTTTATTCTCGTTAATTCATACAGTGGAGACGGCCGGCAGTGACTAGTTGACAGAATTATGTTGCAATCCAACCAGATTCATATTAATGATACAGACATTTTTAAGCAATTATCTTACATTTCAAAGGAATAGGTACGCCTAAAAGACTTTGCTTAGTACCTCTGCCAAGCGGATGGTTCAAGGCCCTGCCAATTTCCAGCAGAAGAGGAGATAGGGTAAGCTAGAATCTTGCTTTCAAGAAAAGAAAGCCCATCGTGAAGATTCTTCAGGTGCCTGAAGGACAGATCAGCACTAATGCCATCCAAGAAATGATTGGCTCTTTGATTATAAGTTTTGCAAGATCATGCAAGGAGATACAGCTAAAGGAAGGAAGGGTTGCATGTTTAAATCACTTTATTACAAGAACCCGAGTCTTAGGGAAAAACACCTGTACAAATTGACAAAGCCAAAACCAAAAAAAAAAAAAGAAAATCTAGGTTTGGGGTTGCATGCGAGACAGAAAGAAGACAGTCAGCTAATATTAGAGTTGACACACATTGATTTTAAAATGTAATAGTCCTAACTTTAGTAGCAATGTTGAAGGAAACAAAAGAACAGTACGGACAGGCAATCAGACACTCAGCTCAAGGGGCTCAAGAACCAATTCAGAATCAACTTGTTTTGATTTTCTTTTCTTTTTGAAGGAGAAAAGTCGGAGGAGGAATCGTGAAAAGCAGCTTAACGGGTCTTGAAGACCTTCCATCTCGTAGTGTCCAAATCGCCAATCTCGTTCAATATAAGGTCGCTGTGTAGGTTTGTCAAGGCCTCCTATCAAACCAAAATGACAACAAATAATATAAACATTATTATTGGGACTTTGACATTTAGAGGAAAAAAAAACATTAACAGCAATTATGAATCAATTCAGATTTTGCAATTCACAACAAAAATTCAACTTGCACCTCCACAAGGTCATTTGCAAGTGACTAGTACAGAGCCATGCATGTAAGGTATTTAAGGTTGTGCCAATGGCCTCCTACATTTTTTTTATTAAACTTTAGATGTCAAACCAATAAAGAGAAACTTCATTCTATGCTTGGTCTTATCTTGAAAATTTTCATGCCAATTTCTTATCATTATTACTGTCTTTCTACTGTGAGGTCCAACTTATCCACCATTTATTTTGGATGTGGCTAATCATAGATCATCCTAAAATGGGATGCAAGTGACAGAATCAATCTTTTTCCATTATATATGTCAAGAAAAAGAGATTAATATAAACTTACAATAAGAAGGAGCTCCTACAGTACCTGCATACATCAAACCGTGTTTATTAACTGCTCGAACGAAGGGTCTTGTTTGCTTCTCTTTAGCAGCATTTTGGAGTTCATTCCATGCTCTTTCCCTGTCTTCACGTGTAATTTTGCCTGTGGTTACCACCTGAAATCAACATGGACTATGATGTTTCAGTACAAACACATGAGAGTTGAATTGGGAAGCCCAATGATGGAACATTCATGTGGAAAAGAACATAACCTTGGAAAATAGGTGATATGAAGGACGTGGGATCCGAGCAAGGCCATTGACACGATCAACTGCTACAAGTCCAAACTTGGGACCGTAACCATCAGCCCATTCCCAGTTGTCAGAAATAGTCCAAAAAAGGTAACCGAGCACGGGGACACCCTGTAATAAGCCAGAAGAAGATTAGCACTCGGTTCTGTAAATAACTAATTTCAGAAAACCAAATTCCAGATTTTGTCAAGTTTACAGCCAAACCATGATCATTGCTGCATAAACAGCAAGCAAATGTTCTAAAAGATACGGCCTACGGATCACATCTGTCTCATCAGAAACCCCATTTTCTGTAATGATGAAGGGAACCTTAAGGTGTTTGTATCTTTCATGGAATTGTATTAGCAGATGAAACAAGCCATCTGGATAAACCCCTCGCCCTGATTCACTGTACTCATCAGTCTCTACTAGCTTCAGTCCAGCACCAGATATCACTTCCTGGCCATCAGAAGAATAAGGTCAATAGGTTTATATGTACATTGTTTTGTTAACAGGAATTTTTTGTTAAAAAAAGTCAAATGGGGAAAAAGAAGAAGAACCTGTCCATAGTAGTTTATGCCTATAAAATCCAGCTTGTCGCATATGCTATCCACATATGGAAAAAGAGTGAGAGAATTGGCCAATGTAACAGCAGCAACATCAAAGAGACCATATGGCCGCGTAAATGATACATTATGTGCTACACCAACCACTTTGTTTGATAATGTGCTGCTGAAAGAAATAGTATTGGAATGTTATAAATTTGAAACAGCAATTATAAATATAGAAAATCTGTCAAATGGGTGAGGACATGTATATCTATGTTTTCTGATCTTCAAATACCCACTAATCCAACTTGTTAGAAATATGTGAAATTCTTTGATAAAAATTCCTTTTATTCAGAGTCTTCATAAGGAAGAGAAACCTTTTTTCATGGATATAGTCATAGGCCTTTGAATGTGCAATAGCCATCCAATGCATGGCCTGTCTAAAAACACCAGTTGGTAGAGCAGAAGTGGCAGCCTCCAGCATATCAGGATGACCACCAGGCCAAGCACCCGCACAATAAGTAAGCATGCAGAAGACATGAGGCTCATTAAATGTTATCCAATAGTCAACCATATCTGATACGCCATTGACAACAAGCCTGCATGATATGCACACAAAAAAAGGAGTTATGAAACTGGTAGGACATACAAAAACCAGACATTCTTAAAAGCAGCCTTATCTTTCTGTCTCATAATTTGAGTTAAAGTTCAGTTAAGAGCAGCAATTGAATGTTGAATTCTTACCACTTTCACACCTAGTGACTGTAAGTTTTTAACTCCATAAATTTACCTTTCTTTTAATACCTAAAGCAAAAGACAGTAAAATTTGTTTATAAAGCTTTCTCTTTTGGCTTATGCAACGGACAGATGAGAATACTGAGATCAGCTCAACCTTGATTGCATTAAGAAAAGTATGATTACTGAAATCAGAGATGCAAAAGTATAAAACAGAAACTACTACTTAATGGAAGACTTACTTGGTAAACTCTATGAAGTAATCAACTGTCTTCTCCAGCTTCCATCCACCATAATCACCAGCCCATGGGGGCAGTGAGTGATGAAACAGTGTGAGCATCACCTTCATTCCATAAGAGCGAACCCTGCTGATGATCCATTTATATCGCTCTAATGCGGCATAATTGACCTAAAAAGCAACGCCATATGGCCTAACTAAGTACGGATTCATTTAAGTTGAATATAGGAAAAACAAGGAAACTTGGAAGTCATATAGGCGTCTAAAATTTGACCAAAAAGCATCCAACAAACAAATACTTTTAACAGGCAGGAGGATTGTTCCCCTCTTTTGTCACAAGTATGATAGCCTTATAAATACCCTCCAACTTGTTTCTCTTTTACTTACTGAATTCAAGGATCCCTTAACAGTTATTGTAGATTAAAATGGACAACACTACGTACGGTGTGAACATGCATATGAGAGAGAGAGATAAATTGGGTATATTTGAGCTATGGTCAAGCATTTTAGCTGTCACTTTCAGATTTGTAGTGAAACATTCTGTAGTCATTCCCATGGACATAGAAACATATTTCAATTGCAGACCAAACCAAAATCAGATCCGGAGTCAGTCAGAAAGGCATCAACTTGACTTGGTTAAAATATCATACCATTTGTAATTTCTGTTGTCTGTATTATGAAAAATGGAAACAAAACAGATGACAAGCATTAAAGCATATGGTAAAGTAGCATCATACTTACAGCATCCTTAATTCCATTAACTGGCTCCTGTGGCATGATTCGACTCCAGTCTATTCCCATTCGAAAGATACTGATGCCAGTATCTTTAGCCAATTTCAATTCTGTGTCAGGATCAGACCAAAATCTTAATCTTTCCTCCCTGAAACCGATTAAAGCAATCCGTTTCTCAAGTTGTACAAAACCAGAGAGGAGTAAGAGACACATTTTATGCACCAAGGACCCTTCTTGTAACTAAAGGCATCAAATTACATAATAAGGCTTACGGGTGAGAAGCATTGTGCCATGCAGCTACATTATGATGGCATTCGTCATTCGATGCAGGCTCTTCAACCTCCTCCTCCTCCTCTACAAACTTCTGTAACCCTCTTATCATGGCTTCCATGGCAACCTTAAGAGGCTTCTTCTTCTTGTTAGACTGTTTCTCTGTTAACGGAGCTTGATAAGAGCTACCATCAGCAGCAACAGCACCACCAATCACTGCATCAGCTTGCGCTGGATCATCTCTTGTTTCTGATTTATGACAAGGATTTTCTTCAGCAAACTGTAGCCAAGCATCGTTGAGCCTGTCTTCAACATGTGCTGGCGCTGTTGCTAATCCAAAGAAAAACCCATTTTCCTCCTCACCTGAACACATAAAAATAACCAGCTAGCTTCCATCTAAATCCTCAAATCCATCTCGAACGCTAAATAAAAAGAAATTTTGGGTCTGATTGAGTGTTACCGTTGACATTGAAATCAGCAAGCGTATCAGAGGATTCGTCGATTGGAGATTTGAACCGTCGGAGATTCTTTTTCCGGTAACGCGAGAAAGAGAAAGCGTTGGCTGCGATGGACACTGTCACAATTATTCCGGCGAGCTTTGTCGCCGACCAAAACAGCGCTGTCAACGCCATTTTTGCTTTTGTTAGAATTTTGAGATTGAAAGACTGTTTTATGATAAGCGTGAGAGTTGGGACTTGGAGATCGAGCGGTTTGTTATCATTAAAACAGGGATGGTGACTTGGAAAAACGAGATGCGTCCACGTGGCATAGTTCGGACATGGATGTAACGGAATCCGTTCTTAGCCTTAGACCACAGAAGGTGGGTGGCGTGCACGCAAGCTGTATTTCTGCATTTGCACGGTTCGTTTTCAAGCGAAGTGGAACTTTCGCTTCTGATGGAGCGTGGGTAAAGTTGATGCTTCTGGTACCATCCTCATATAATTGAGAGGAACCGCCGAACCGGGTGACCCGTTAAATCACAGGGATTAGAAGTCCGGCCCAGCCTGATAAATGGCTAGTGTTTTATTATAATTATATTTGGCCAGCGACAAGTGGGCAGTTGGACTTAGGGTAAAAAAAATCGATTTTTTTTTTCGATTTAAATTAAATTTAGATGTTGAATATATATATATATATATAATTCGTATTAAATTTTAAATTAAAAGATAAAAAATAAAAAAATTAAATTAAATTATATATTTTTATTAATTTATATATTTAAAATTTTATAAAATAAAAAATAATTATTTTATACTTAATTTATTTAAATATAATAAAAATTATATTAAAATAATATAAAAAAATTTTAAATTTAAAAATCGATCAATCGAACTAAATTAATAGAATTTGATTCAAATCTAATCATATCAAAATTTATAAATTCTTAATTTTATGTATTATAAAAAAATATAATATAATTTAATCTAAATCATTATTATCTTTAATTAAATTTGAATTTAAACTTGAATATATTCCGTGTATATGTTTCACCTTCAAATTTCAACCCCTACTCCTTAAATAAGTAAATATAACTATGAAAAGTTTATTTTAGTTTAATTATAGAATTTTTGTTACTTTATTTTATATTTTTGGTGTGAGTAGATAATTTAAATTAATATTTTTTTAAGACAAAAAAAATCAAGATTGTTTTCAATATGATTTTATTGATAAATGAAAAAAAATATATCATTATCATATTTTCCACCATTTGAATGTTATTGGCTAAAATATAACTAATAGTTGACAATATGGTTTTTTTTGGTACACTGAAAAAAAAAAATTTAACACTAATGTGAACTTTTAATAAAATATTTATCTTTTAATAATTAATTTAACAATAATGTGATCTTTATTAAATTATTTATTAAAAGATAATACATAGTGAAAGGTAAAAGAATAGGTCCAGCCCAAATAAGACATTAAAACCCACAAGCCTACCATGTTGATGGGGATTGGGATTACAACATTATTGATGAGACCATTGGCCCCAGATGGACCAGGCTGGACCAACATAGCCATCTATCTGCACCCAAGGTGGCCCACATAAACCTTTAAAAATTACGAATTTAAAAAAAATTTATGCATATAATTTTTTTTAATAAATAAATAAAGGGTTATGTCTAGGAAGCAGTGAATGGTCCACGATCAGCTTTCAGCAACTAGTTCATTTGTTTTTTACTCTCTTACCATAGTCAACCTCAAACAGATGATGCGCCAAGCATTTTGAATGAGTGTTTTTGTCAGCATGTAAAGCGGATAGGAAGAGATTTACACCAACTTTTATAGGTAAAGGTTACAAAATTTTTATGAAAAATGAATAAACAAAAAATTAAAATTAAAAATCAAAATTAATAAATTAATAAATTAAAATTTTTCATTATATAAATCAAATGTATAAAATTTAAAATTTTTTAATAAATTTTGATATATTTATTAAATAGATATTTTTAATAAAATATTAATAAAATTTTTATGGTAAAATAAATATCAATTAAATTTAAATTATAAACAATATTTTTAATATTATTTTACATAATATTAATATTCACATTAAATTTTATCAATATATTAATTTAAATTTTTTATTTACTTATTTATAATAAAAAATTTTACAAATTTTACCGATAAAATTTCATATAAATTTTATTCAAGTGGATAATAGCCAATTAATTGGGTGTGTTCCTAATTACAATGAAAATCTGCAAAATTAAATGAGTGAATTTTTGTGGGCCTTTTTTTTTTCTTCCCAGTTTCAGAATCAGATAATTTCTCATTTTTCACGCTTTGAGCCAGAAAACTCTTGAGGCTTTTGCTTCCATCGATTTGGCACTTCCAAATTTAAAATTGCATCTGTTTTTCTTCTTTGTAAATGACAGGGAAATTGGGTTAGAGAAGTGGGTTAGGGAAGTGACTAAAAATATAAAAGAAAAGAAATGGGCTGTCACCATTTTACCTGGAAAACTGTAGGTGGACCAACCAAGCACCAAGATTTTTCAAGAAGAAAATAATCACTATTTTGTCTGCAAGAATCTTTGCAGGGTTTTGTTCCCTTTCTTCTACCAAACGGGCCTCTCCAAAAGACCAGAACAGAACAGCACAGCTCCATTTTGGATTCACATGCAGAGGGAATTTTTTTTTTCTTTGAGACATGTACCGATGGAATTCAAATCACAAACACCATCCTTTATCCCTATCTTCAACATTATTGGTTTCCTGATATGGTTACGAAGTTTTATTGTCAAAGTCACTCCAGCACCAAACGAGTACTGCTTTGAAGCTTTGATCATTCAGTAGCAGTAGTAGCTGCATGCATGGTTTGCATCCTCTAATGATTTATTTCCAAGTAGTGGATGTCTCCTAGTATTTCAGTGATTCCTTGTCCAAACGTGGTTTTTCTTATTCTGGGTCTCATATGTCACATCAACTTCCCCAATCTGCTACAGGCAAAACAATTTGCTGGTAGCTGCTAGTGCAACAGCTTCAAGTCCAATGGTAATTCAATGATTCTATATATCTACTTTTACACGATATTTCATGGCGAAAAGGGCTTGATTCTAACCTTACGAGAAAAAAATCGAAAAAATTAAAAATTAAATCGAAATTATATAGTGTTTAATTCAATTTAAATTTTATTGATTTATTTAATTTATATCCAATTCGAATATTAAATATATATATTAAGTTTAAATCAAATTTTAGATTCAGAGGTAAAAAACAAAAAAAAATCAAACTTAATTATATATTTTTTAAATTTTTATAAAATAAAAATAATTATTTTTTATAAATTTATTAAAATATATTAAAATAATATATAAAAAATAAAAAAATAAAATTTTAAAATCAATAAACCAAATTAAACCAATAAAATTCGGTTCAAATAAATTTGATTCAAATTCAAATTAAATTTTAAAAATTTATAATATTATGTTTTATTCAAAAAAATTAAATTAAATTCGATTTAATTCGAATCGTTATCATTCTTATTTACATCGACGGTTAAAAACTCTCTTTTTTCTTTATTTTCTTTTATATATTGCGATCCTGGTTTAGGATCGATCGTGGCTAATACATAGTCTAGTTGACAGCATTAGAGTATGGCAATAATATGGTACTGATCTTTTTCAAACCTTTGATTCCATGTATTTTAAAAGCCTTTACTCCAATATAGAACGGGAAGGGATTCCAATAAATATCAATTTAACGTTACATGCATATATGGATTATGGCTAGACTCTAGAGCGAAGCAATGGTACGGGCATGATATGGGGAAGGGGCCAAAAGGGACTATAGCTAGAGCTGGACCGCAACTGGAATGGCCTTCCCTTGAGTCAGGAAATGAGCAGGGAATGGAAGTAAGCAGCAGCCGTAAGGATCAATTGACAAATACATATCATAATGTTACACAAAGCACTCAAAGAAAGTAGATAGGGTATATTAATCTCACATAGGATAGAAAAGTAAAAATTATTAGGTATGTATGCATTGGTGTTATACACTCAAATAAATCAATTTTGTGAAGAAAAGATAATGATCACATGATAAATCAATTTTGTGAAGAAATAGTAACGACCACATAATAAGAATTTCCTAAGCGTTAATAGTGGAAGATGTGATCAGCTTGCCGCTGCCCTCTTGCATGGCCGCCTAATATTTCATACTTAAATTTGGCTTACTGGGTGTAATTATATGGCACTCACCTTTGTTTTTGTAAACACAAAATTTCAGTCAAAGCCATAAGCCAAACAAGAATTCATTAACCATTAATGTCACCGGTTATTCAAATGCTATCACCTGACAACAGAAGATTCATGGCTATTGTAAAAGAAAAACCCAAAAGTAAACGAGGAAATTAATATATATTTATTGAAGTAACATTGGCCATGGTGGGATTGGAAACTTTCGGGGGTTTCTTCTCAGGTTTTGTTAACAATAAGATACTGTTAACAGTATTGTTTTGGGCCATGAAATTAATAAGAATTTTAAGTTTGTGTGTGATTTAGTGTTGACTGTGCAAGGATATGCTAGAAAGTGAGGAAATGGAGAGGATCGATCCATGCCAAAAATACAGTATTAATTAATAAAGAACGGAAGCCAAGGAATTGGGGAAGGTGATTAATTTCGCATTATTTTGACCATATCTTAGGAGACTGTGATGCTAACATCTCTTTCGCTCACATGTAAATTTGATAATTTATATATTTATATCATATAAAATATTAATAATTAACGTATTCATGGTATATTTTATATGAAAATTATATATTATAATTCGTGTCTACACGAAAATATAAAATATATATTTTTAATTTTATTAAATTTATTTATAATTTTTTTTAAAATTTTAAATCATTTTATTCGTATCGATTTTATGTTATATTACTATATCATAATTGAAATTGTCATATCTATTCACATGCCTTTCACCTTGAGGTTCTATGTATATTCCCCTAAATTAGGGTGCCCTTCAACAAGTGATCATATGTTGTGGTTTGAGCTTTAGAAAATTAATGTTCAATAAACTCCATTCTTTCAAAAAAAAAAAAAAAATCAAATGTACATTAATTTTTATTAAGGTTTTGTTTGATAGAAATATATAAGAAAGAAAAGTTTTAATATAATGATTAAGATGCATAAGACAATGCTATATACATATATTTCATTCACATAATTAAATTATACATCAATGGAACTTTTTTTTTTTTTTTTTAAAATTTAGTCACTATGTTATATGTATGTGTATAAAAGAAGTTTATATTTAATGCATATAGATTCTATATATTGTTAACGAATCAGATGATATATAACTCATTAGTGATAATTTTTTAAAACAAATTAAAATTTTGTATATTTCTCTTAAGGATTTAATACAAATTTATATTTATTTATTAATAAAATGATATTATTTGATTTATTAATAATGTATAAAATTTACACTATGACAAAATTT